AAGGGGGAGGGCACATTTAGCTACTTTTGGTTAGTTGGTTTGATCAAGTTGAGGTTTAGCTTGTTATCCTAAACCTTCTCCTTCTTCAAGACAAACTCCGATGAGTTGGTGGTGATGACGACTTCCCAAACAATCCGAATAGCAGCCTTCCTTGGCTTCAATTGCTTTTGTTTCGTCCAAACAAAAGTAATACGACCGAAAAGCCATCAAACTAGTTCTGGTGAGGTACCTTCTTGAACTTAGAAAAACCTAGGTCTCCTAGCCTTCTAGTTGTATATATGACATTCCTAAAGCCCTAAGTTCGTGTAGAAGCCTTCATTGATGCTCTCCAACCCTAAAACCCCCGCTATCCTCTCAGTCCCCGTGGAAATCCAATGATTTCCAATGGGATGTTCTCATTTGAACCCAAAGAGAATGGCAACGAGCATTAGGTCATTCAACTTGTGTCTAGTGACCCTCAAATGCATAAAAACATATTCATGTTGTATTCAAACCATTTGCTTATAAACAAAATCCTAAGCCTTTCGTAGCCATTGCATTCAAATCCAATGGCTACGCACTTGAACAAACCAAATTGCATAACATTTAAGACTTAGATTATGATAAAATTAATATAAAAATATATTGTTGACTTCTTTTGCTAGGATTCCAAATTCAATTTAAAAAATCATAAAATCTGAAATTTAAACAAACATAAGTAAAAAAAAAAGGATTAAATTTAGTTTATGCTTCCCCTAGGTGGTATAAACTTAACGGTTAAAATTTTGAGTCATTTGGAGAATGTTTAAACTTAAAATTAATGCAAAGATTATCAAAATAACCCTAAAAGCATTTTTTGTAAATAAGTAATCCTGCTTAAAATAAATCCTATTGTATTTAGCTTTTAAATAAAATAAGAGAAGATTTTTTTGGGAAATCGCATACCAAAAATCTAAATTTTATACTTGAATACATTGATGAATGATATTTTTATCTTTCGAGATGATATATGATTCGCAACATCGTATTCGATTATAAAATAGAAATTCAAAAATCATGTTGAATTTATAGTCCGCAACCCCGACAGCATCAACCACTGATAATGTGTCTTACTAGTGATCTAAATATACCACATTGTAAATCTCAACACCAAAAGCACATCAAAGGTGGAAAATTACAGCTTCAACGATCATATTAGTGAGAATATTCATTGTTTCTAAATTAGGAACGTTAAAAAATGATGACAATCTGCTGCCATTTTTATGTGGGTTTATTCCTCTCCTCGAGAGGAGTACGTTTCCACAAACAATAATGTCTGAAGGTCACAACAAATCCAAGAAGTTCAAATATAAGACAAATTGCAAAGCAACAAGCATGTGTTCGATCAATCAGAGGCCATCGAGACGTTGCTTTTAACAAGGGGCTAGTCAAATAGCCCCTAATATCATCAGAAGTAGTGGAGCTCCTCACGATTGATCAAACACTTCATTTCCTTTCTGAGTGTGGCAGTAGGTCTAACCTAGTTCAAACTAGTTTGCTCAAAATTAGCTAATTTATGGCCTTATAAATACCCATTTTCAAAGTTCTTGCTGTTGAAAAATTCAACATGACCAAAATGATCTTGTTGTAGAATCATTATCTCACACTAAGTATTTTTTTGTCCTTGATTCAATTAAGTCTAACAGAATTTAGTGTTTAATCTAGCTCATTTAAGAAGCATAAAGATGCGCACTTTGGAATGAAATTTAATGCTTGATCAAATATAGTTTCTACAAGCCCAACAACTCCCCCTTATTATTGACATGTTGTTCTCTTTTCCATGACAGAGGGCTCATGTAATCCTTGAAGATTTCAAGTTGCAACAAATTTATCAAAGGCTACATTTGCTTTTGGTAGGTGAAATCTTATGCATGTGTACCTTCACTCTCCATATTACTTCAATCATGTTTTGTGATTTTTACGTAAATGACACTCACTGCATAAAAAATGAGATAACTTTGCAGAAGTATTTTCTACCTCTAAAAATTATGATTTTTTCAAATAAAATGGTCCACCTAAGGTAGAGGGGCCGATATAAAGCACAACCCTGCATAGACAAATCTAAAAACTTGCTCGCAATGGAGGTCCAAACAGGTGAATTCCTAAGATTAAACTTATAGCACTCGAACCACATGCTAAGTTTGCCGATATATGAAAAAGATATTTTTTTGTCAGTCAAATGTACTCCATTTTGAGAGATTCATGCTTCAATTAAAAGAATAATTGATATAGAAATTGATGCAAGTGATTTATTTTATTTAGTTTTAATGGCTATTTGGTTTGCTGCAAAATGATGTAAAGTATTTCAAATACAGGGGTTTTAGAAATATTAGTGTTTGGTTTTAAGTAAAAGGAATGGAGAGTAAAGTTTTGAAGAAAAAAAATTCACCATCTAGTTCAAATACAGTGTATTTGGAATTTCTCAAATTTGGACGATTTTCAAATAAACCGCTCACTCACCGACATTGCCATCACCTCCACCACTGGTTACTACAAACCACCGTCAACCCTGATAGCCGTCAACTGCTGCTGTTCAACCCCCGGCCCACCCCCCCCCCCAAAAAAAAAAACTTTTTTGCACTTTACATTGCATTTATTTTACTTAAAATAAAAAAATAATCTCATGCATTTATTTTACAGCCATCCAAGCAACTCCAAAGAATTCTTTTTACACAGCATTCTTTTTCAGGCAACCAAAACAACCCTTTAATTGGGTTTTTGAGGAATTATTTTAGCAAACATATGGAGATCTTGCCATTATAATAGCTTGTAAATTGCTTTTTTTTTTTTTTTTAAAGCAAGGGGAGGATTCTCTTGGTGTTGTCAACCTGATCTTTGCTAATATGATACACATTTAAACAATGGATGATCAACCCTTACATGGGGATGCATTCTGATGGATAAAGTACACTTTGATGTGCCATTCATACATGTCAATAGTGTTGAATAGCATGTGTCAAGGTGCAAGGCATAGCGCGGTTCACCTCACATTCCATATGCATGGCGATTGGCGAGGCATGTGAAACTAAAATGAAGCGCGTTATTTGTACCATGCATATGCAATAACGCATAGCCCTCGTAGCGCACGATATTTTAATTTTTATGATTAAATATTAATATTAGAATTAATTATAATTTATTTAGTAGCTTTATTTTGGTTAGATTTGTGCTTTCTTAGGGCACGATACCGACTCTCAACTTTGACACTGACGTGGCAAGGCTGTCGATCTCGCCTTTTGTCTAGCATCACAGTCTCGCCTCTTGCCTTCAACGCACAAGCACGCATGTAAGGATCTCATATTTTGTAATAAGTTTAAAATAGTAAGTGCTAAATAATATGTTATGGCTCAATGGGGACCTCTACGCTATGGTGCAATATTTGTTATAAGAATGGGGTATTCTAATTGTAATGTAGGAAAAATTTAATGACAACCATACCTATAATGTTGCCAAGAACATACCATCCATGTTACAGCCAAAATTTCCTACAATGAATCACTTCTATTATGATTCTCTTCAAAGGTGTATCATCCTTTACTAGATATTGAGTGGGAAAAGATCAATTGGTTATAAATGTCCAGACAATTGATGTTAAGTTCTTTGCACATGTACTCTAACTAGTTGTCTCATTTAAGAGGGGGGAAAGATTTCTCACATACTACATAAAATTATTGTCACGATAAAACTGGAAAGTAAAGTGAGGACTGATTTTGATTTCCTTAGCCTTTTTCGATCTCACACATAAGTGATTAAGTAAAGAGAGGATGGTGATACATGATATTTTGTGGAAAATCTAAGAAAGAATAAATCATAGTCATAGTAATTGAACAACTTATAATAATATGAAAGAGTTATAATGTGTCTCCATTTCCCACCTAATTTAAAAAAAAAAACATTAATACGAAACATCAGCAATTTTGACAAAAGATGATAGTCGACACACCCAGAGGTGGTTGTGATGCATGTCTTATACAAAGTACTAGTAACAAATGTCTTGAAGGAGATGGATGTTGCTCAGTTATAAAAGGAGACAGCTATGATGAAGAATTATAATACAATCTTGTACTTGATGGTTGTGAAGCAAGTCTTGCCATGGCACATTATCTTGTTAATTATGGTTGCTCATACCATTTATTCGATTCCGAGCAATCTTTAGAACACAAAAAAAAAACTTTTTTTAAAAGAATTTCAATTCTTATCTTGAATATTTACCATAGTTATCAATAACAAATGATGCAGATCATGTCCTCTCATGATTAGACAATGTCGTCCCTAGGATGACCAAACTAATATGCTTGGTCCCAACCCCAAATTGACTAGGTGACCTGTGATGGTTGTATAACAGTAAATGACACCAATAATATCTTTAATATGTGCTATTAATATATAATGTCAAAAAAATGCCTTGACTGCAATGATGGTGATGGATTGACATTGTGAAGATTGAATTTATGGGGAATTATTAAAAGAAGGCATTTTAAATACTCAAACTGTTATTCAAGTAAATAATAATTTTATCCATCATAAATGCCAGCAGTGTTATTCACCCTGGGCTCACAAAGCATTGTTTCTACATAGGTGGAAAATATATTAACACATAATCAAGTGATTCCATCACAACATCATGAAGCACACCTTGGTAATATGGAGGAGGACGATGGAGAATGATAAAAATTCAGCACTAATGAATTATTTAAAACCACAGTAAATGAAAAAAGGCATAAAAGTAGGGATAGCAAGTACCTCAATGATTATGAAAATCAAAAGAAACCAAAGACAATAAACAAAAATACAAGCATGAAATGGTTCCTTCGCATATGTTAAGAACATCCATACTCCAATTCCTTTAAATTGTTGATATTCATGTGAAACATGTAAACCTACAAGTTTATAATGAGTAAGGAATGTTTTGCAAATAATGATACTTCATCAGAACTCAGATGGATTTGCATATAGGATTTACTAGCAGAAGATACTAGAAGTAAGAAGCAGAAGAATGAATGATACTTTAATTATCTACTGTAATCACAAGCTATGGCATGCACTACCAAATCAATTTCTCAACACTGAAACAAGAAGAAAGAAAACAGTCTCAAGGAATTCGATACAATCCAATGAGAAAACATTAAAAACTTCGATCAGCATCAATTACACAGGTAGGTTCCACTTTGATAAGTATGGCTAACCTCGTTAAATTGTGCAATGCCATCAGCAACTGGTCTCAAACAAACCTCAGACAAGGTCAACGCTCCCTGCGAAGAAAACTTCACCAATGCATGAACTTCAACCTCACCCTCTGAAGAATCTAGATCAACAGGCATCCGTGCTCTCAGTTTCCCCGCAGGTCCCTTCAGGGGAATGTCAGGGATGTGCCATGTCAACTCTTTCTCAGCACGGCTCAAGACTGCCTTTGGGGAAACCTTAAGAAGTGTTGGGTCAACAGGCAACTTCAAAATGAACTTAACATTAGATAAAGAAGCAGGTAATTCAGGGTTAGAAGCATATTGTATCATTACTGAAAGCAAGGTTCCACTGTGCCTTTTGATTAACCTTAGCCTCAGGGGTAGAGGAGTGAGATGGGGTAGAAGGCTAAACTTCAGAATTGGAATGGGTTCTTCCTTAGAATGAGTTCTGACATGAAACATTCCATTTCCTAAACTGCTTACGCATGAACTCATCATGACAGCCCTCTTGATTCTGGAGGTACCCTCCAAGCGGAAAGAGAACTCAGTTTCCTTCCCAGCCGATTGTTTTGGAGGAATTGTTCTTAAAATAACTGTTCCTTTGAAGCCAACTCGAGCAAGCAAAGACTCCCTGAACTCAGCATTGATTTCTTCCACGATGTTCATCTCTGGGCCAGACATTTCTTTCTTCTTCTCCACCAGAAGGTTCTCTAGAGGCGTGCCCGCTCCAGCAGCTTGAGCTGGAGGAGGTCCCTGACTGGTAGCCAAGAACTCCAGCCCACCTAATCCCTGCGGCTTGGGAGTCTTCTTTGTGGTGACAAATTCTGATGCATCAAGGCCTCCGCCAAAAGCATTGTCGAATCCTTCAAATGCCTCGGATAAGGATGCCTCCTCGTTGCTGAACTCTATCCCACCGTACTCCCCTTCGAAGCCTTCAACCCCAATGAAGGTAGACTTAGTGGCTTCTGCCTGTGGCAAAACCATAACTTCAAGGCCGGATAGGGCTGCAGCTGGATCTGCTGCGTTTATTGCAGAATTAGGGGCCTTCTTGAACCCTCCCACAAGCGCCTCTTCCGGCTTGTTTATCTTATCGCTTGCAGCAAACGGATCCTTCTCCTCCACAGCCTCTTCAGCAGGCAGCTCCTTCTGCTGTTCCTCGCTGGTGAGCTGCGCTACAGGCGCAATAGCCGCAGCAACCTCATCGCCGGCGGCCAGGGTTTCCTGCGGGAGCTCAAAGGAAGCAGATGAGAAGGCCTCGAGATTGGCGCGACGCTCGGCTGAGAGGCCCTCGGCGGCACCTGACCAAGTGTCAGCACCACGGATGCGGTTCTCCGACTCGATGCCTGTGTGCACCATCTTCGCAATGCTCTCTCCGTGAATAGAGGACAGGATGGCGGCGAGGCGCACGCTTCCAACGCCGCGGAGGACGATGTCCAAAGCCATGTAGATCTCGGGGTACTTCCGGTGGAGCTTCTCAGGAGTAACATCAACGCCACGACAAGCAGCGACGATTACGCTGACGGCTTGATTGACGGTGTTGATGCACTCGAAGACATTGTTAGTGAGGCCGCCGTCGGATGCGCGGTCGATGGTGGCGATACCGAGGACGTAGATGCCGTTGACGAGGCGATACACTACCCGATACTTGCTCTCGATACCGACCACCACTTGGCCACTGGAGGCAGCGAGCGGATCATCGCCGATGGCAGAGTCTAGGTCTTCCGTGAGGGTAGGGGCCACCGAGGCAGAAGCTGAGATCTTGTTGTGGCCAGAAGAGGAGGAGGCAGCAGAGGAAGCTGCGAAGGCGAGGCGGGTCTGGCGGAACGAAGAGAGGGCGGCGAGAGCGCGAGTTGGTGGAAACCATTCCCGTGTCTGGAGGAGGATGTCAGGACCATTAGCAGGCTGGAGGGAGAGCGCGAGGCACGCCATGGATGTTCTTCTTTATGAGATTGGGTACCTGGTGGGAAAGATCAAGAAATCAGAGGCTGGAACTGTGGATTTTGGTGGTTGGGCCAATGGATCTTCTCGAACATGGGAATTTTGGCGCTCCGGCAGTTCTCAGATCTGATAGAAGAGGGACTTTTGTGGCGAAAGAAAATAGGGATGATCGTCTTGCAAGCAAATATATTTTATGGAATCCGGTTTTTTTTTTTTTTATCACAGAAATTTTCTGTATTTTTACAGAAGAGGGAAATTTTGTACATGTCATAGACATGCCCAAATTCATTCCCAAAAGTCTCAAATTATGGTGACTTCAATCAAACATATAATTACATAAACATGGGAAACATTCAAATGGAAATTAAGATTAACACGTACATGATCAAGGCCTGAGACCCTAGAGCTTTTGAAGATCTCTTTGAGATATTCCAATGAGCCTAAGAACACCTAATTCGGCCAAAGGGATTAAGAGATGATTTTTTGAAGTTTTATGTGATTTTTTAATTAATTAAATCAGGATTTACACAGTCGGATTGTGCTTTTACATGTGACACACTCCAATTGGTAGGCCAATGGTTGTGTGCTAACTATGTGAATGGCGATTAAAACCAGTCATCGAATCGTGCATCTGACGACTGAGATCAACAAGTCTCCGGAACTACTGGATCTAAATCGACTCGTTGATCTAAATCAATGGCCATGATTATATCTTCAACCTCCCGTGGCTACCCAAGACCGTAGTGCTTTTCTGGCGTGATCCAAAAAATCCTACCGGTGAAACTCCATCAAACCTCACAGAAAGCTTTAGGACAAGGTAGACTGTCAATCCAACGGTTGGATTCCAGTGGGTTAACAGTTTATTTCACATTCGACCATCACCACATAGCTAGGAGCTCGGGAAGGGAATCTCACCATTTAGAAAGCCCCAATGAATGGGTTTTTCTATCAAAAAGCTCAAGGTCATGATGGCGAGCACTTATCCTTCAAACGCCTCAGGTGGAGAGCCATCAAAAGTATGACTTCGAGCGGAGGGCAGAGAGTTTTCATCGGAGTTTGCTCGTAACGAGTGTTGGGAATAGCAACAAAGCTAGGGTTCAAGAGAAAATTGCTCAGGGAACTATGGGGAGTGATTTTGAAAGGATGGATGTGAATGGGGATGTCTGGATCAAGCTGCCCTATTCAAATGCCTCCCACGAGCTCGGATGGCCCGGATTGATCAGGGCGATCGTTAGATGGCTTCCAGGCGGCAGGGGAAAACCTCGTGGAGTCATCTGAACTAAAAGGAGGCAAACTCAGGCCTTGTGGAGACTTTTAGCTATGGCTCGTGAAGGGGGACAATTTGAGCTGGTTTTCCATTTGCTTCGGTCGCTGCCGACCACTAGCTGGGTCAGACTGATATGGAAAGAGAGCTCTAAGATAGGGGGAGTTTAAACATGGGTTCAAATTGGGTATGAGAGAGTCCAATTGAGGAGATGGGCTCGGGTTGACCCAAACATGTATGATTTGGGTCGATTTGGGCTCAACATGGGTCAAGCTAGGGCCTGGGCTTGATAGGGGAGGTAGGTAGGATTAAAGTGAACCCAACTATGTGCTGACTTGGCCAAGGGGTGGCCAAATTACCTAACATGGCTCAGGACAACCCATTTTTTGATACATTTGGGTCATACCCAAGTTAGGTCAGGGGCCTGAGCTTGGTATGAAAGATGTATTAGGTTAAGGAGAGCCCAACGCAAGTGCCAATTGGGTCTGAGTTGATCTGGGCTGAGAAATTGTTAAAGTCAAAGTGATTTTGGAAGCTTTGGGCTAGCCTAAGTCTTGACCCAAGTCAACCCAAGGGTTGGGCTGGCCATGATAGATGTATTGGACCTAGGGCCACCCAATGGAGGGGTTGGATGGGTTTAATTAAGCTTAGGCTGAGAGATGGCTCAATCCAAAAAGTGCTATATTAACTTCAATTTTTATATAGCACTTTATATATTGCTATTTATCTAACACTAAAAAATTTAATATTTCAGGCCTATTATCCATAGATCATAGATAAGTGAAATGAATGAAATATTAAAATTTATAGAATGATATGAGTAGTATGAATGAAATATATAAGTGATATATTTTATACTAAAATTTTAAGTATTAGATATAAGATAACATGATATATAATGATATTTATGTAAATCCATGTAATTTTTTTAGAAATGTAAAGTTTTCGAATGTGTTCGTGATGACAAAAGAGGCAAAAATTTCAAGATGGGAGCTCTCTAAGCAAATGAATTGACCTATCCTACGACGTGTGAAGGCGAAGAGCAGTTAAGCACTGCTGACAGAGAGTGATTGAAACTCTGAAGTCTGACTATTATTACAGAAGCTTAAATCTGTTTCACCCTCATTCTACGCTAAATTCGGGATTTACTAAATCCCGTGATTTAGCGAATTGCAGTGTGACTTCCATATTTCGATCGTTATCTCTTTTGGCGAGTTGATTTCATTTTTCCCGATTTCATTTTATTTAAGAGCATTTTATAAAAAGGAGCATGTTTTAAATTTAAATTAGCTTACGGAGCAAATTAAGAGAAAAAAAATTAAAAAATGAACAAATACAGAACTTAATTATTCGGTTTCAATAGAAACAGAAACTTCATTCTTAGATTTCTAGTTTGATCGGAAACTGAATTTTACTTCCCCATTTTCTATTAATTCTTAACTTTTTTATTTACTTCACGATTTCTATAAATTCTTAATTTTTTTTGTTTTGAAAAGAAACTGGAACATAAAAATCTGATTTCTTAAGAAACTAGAATTTCTTAATCTAAGAAATCGGATTTTCATACTCCAGTTTCTTGATAAACCAAATATCCTTAATCCAAAATTTTTTTTGTTTTTTTAATTATAACTTAATTCAATAATCGAATTTCCTTAATTAAAAAATTATGGCATTTTCATATTCCAGGTTCTCTTTATTTTTTAATTGTAGTATATTTTTAAAATTAAAGTTATTTTTTAATTGATATAACAAAATTTTATTTTCAAACAAAATTTTTATTAATTGATATAACAAAATTTTATTTGTAAAACAAATTATATTGTTAATATTTACTACCATAATATAATTTTTTTAATTTTTAAATAATTTAAAATAAAACTATTGTTTGATAAGAATTTTTTTATTCATTAATTTTATTAGAGTTATTAATTTATTTTAATAAAAAAATTAATAAGCAAGTACATTAAGTTATTTAAAATTCTACCACAATAGTTATAATTTACACAAAAGGTAAAACGAGCAGTAATAGTTTCTTCGAGAATAATTATAAAACACTTTTAAAAAGCAAAATCAAGAAACTTGAAATAAATCACTAAATACCTATAGTTAAATTTTGGCTTTTGAATTAAGTTCTTTATTAAAGCTAGATTAAGATTCTGTTTTTTTTAAAAAACCTTATTTTTATTTTGAGATTTCTCTTCAAATAAGAAAATTCAGAAAAAAAAATTTAAGAATTTATAGAAATTGAATAGTAAATAAAAAAAAGTAAAAATTAATAGAAATCGGAGAATTAAAATTTGGTTTCAGGTCAAAAATAGGAAATAATGAAGTTCAGATTTTTATTGAAATTGAATAATTAAATTCGTATTTGTTCTTTATAATTTTTTTTTTCTATTTTTTAAACTTATTTAAACTTAAAATAGATTCCTTTTTATTAATTAACACCAACCAATATTACTACTTTTAAAAATCTTAAAATTGCCAACAAAATACATAAGCATGTCTGACGCCTAAATGGCCGAGACGTCGTCTTGCTCCCCAGATTGTAGATCCCCAGCCCAAATTTCTGAAACTCAATAATCGCCTCCAGATTCCGGGAACTCGCGAGACTATTAAAATTGGGAGGAAGTCGAGAGGGATCGCTGCAGAAGGCATCGACAGGACCGGAGGCGTGCGAAGGAGAAGAGGAGTCTGTAAGTTAGAGCTGAAGGACAACGGAGTTGGGAGAGGGGTTGGCGGTATTCTTTTCTGCCATTTCTTGTCTATCTCCATAATTTATCTTCTCTTTTGGTCTTTTTCTATGATCTTCCTAGAGCCTTAGGCCTGTCTAGGGTTAGCTTATCCTTATCGCCATTTCTTCATTGCTGCTTCGGCTTCCTAAGATGTAGAGATTAATGTGAAACGGGATTTCAGGCAATACGGTCAAAACTTCTATATCGTCCATACAAAATTGATGTGCGGAACTACCTCTGAAGATGTTGTCTGGGGTTAAGTTTATTCCACGAGAGGAGCTTCTTGAGGTAACATAATGCTGCCCACTCTTTACCCTCGAGTTTTTTTTTTTTTTTTTTTTTTTTTTTTTTTTTTTTTTTTTCTTTCTTTCTTTTGTTTTCTGTAATTCTATATTTATTTTTAATTAATGTGGTGAAGGATGAGGAGGATAATTCGAGCGCAGACAAGCAGAAGAAGATGAATAGGAAACAGGAGAAGCACCGCCGCCGCGATAGGTCTGATGAGAGCTCTGAGAGGGATGAGCGGCGTACAAGAAAGTGCAGCAAGAAGATGAGGAGTGGGAGTTGGAGTTGCTCGGATGCTGATTCTGATTCCTCTGAGAGAGTAACCAGCAGTCATTCTGATAAAGGGGATAGAAAATCCAAAAGTAGAGACAAAAGTTCTCGACATGAGAGGGATGGTAGAAAAAAAAGGGATAGGGTTGGTAAAAAGAAAGGGGATCAAAGTGGTGCTGTGGATGAGAAGAAAAGCTTAGGTACATATTCATGAATTAGTCTTATTGATTTTGGATTTTTTTCCTATTCAATTTCGGCATTTCTCTTTCTTGGCAGATGGTGATACTGATTATATGATTGATCAAAACATTGGGATTTCGAGAAAAGAGATGGGTCTTGAGTGGATGCTTCAAGCTGGCAATAGCCTGCATGGTAATCCAGCATCAACTGAAATCAAGCAGGAGGAGCACCAAGTTGAGGAGGTAAAACCATCCCTACCAAGCACATTTATCCTGTGAATTTTAAGTTTTTTTATCTGTTGCATTTCATATCTTATAATCACTTGAAAGATTAGGATTGGTAAATTTTTTGAAGGTGTATTGGCAGGGGTGCAGGGGGCATACTCACAATTACTGTATGGAAATAAAGAAATTACATCCATATGTCTGCAGAACAGGAATTTTGTTTTGAATTGATGGAGATGGGGATTGGCTTAACCCTTTTTTTATCTTGTAGAATTTGAGCTGTGGAGTCCAAAGTTTTGTGGTAGATACTTCATTTGTTTCTACTTTATGATGGTTATCCACATTTTGCTTGATGTTGTATTGCCAACTATTTGAACTGTTGATCTACTTTAAGACTTGTCTGGGGCTTTTATTGAACGAAAAAAAATCCTTTGTTGACAATAATTACATTTTTCCACTAAGCTTCATTTGATTTAAAATGTTTGCATGAGATGGATTTTTTTTTTCTTTTGGTTAAATTTCAACTCATGATTAATGCTTACTACAAATATGCTCATGTGTGCCAAGCAAAATAAATGCATCTCCAATAATAAATAGAGGTTAAAGCAATGTGAAGGATACCATGCTGAATACAGAACATGGAATATTCATTATTTGCATTGCAGTGTTTCATAGACATTTTGATGAACCTAAGCAATTTTGGTGACTAGAGTTTAACTCATTCCTTTAATGTTATTTCATAGGGCGGATTCATCTCAACAATTGTATAGGTTATTTGAGTCATTTTGTGAGACGTGCTCATATTCATTTATTTCTTTTAGGTTTATTTTTTTGTCCTCAATTTATTAATTTGTTATTGGGGAATCATAAGATGAATATTAAAATATTTGTTGGATCACCTATGAATGAAAATTTATGTGCCATCAATGTGAAAATTTTGATCATGTGTAAGACATGAAAATCTTCCAGGATGCCATGCTCTTGTCTGAGTGTGAAACTTCAGGTTAATATTCTTAATATTTTCTCTTTACCTATGTTTCGATCATTCATTTCATCTAATTTAATGTTTCCTTATTATTAATTTGCATTTTTAATTGATGCAATTCTTCACAGTAACACCCAAAGCCCTTTTAACCAATTTCAAAGAGGCATTAGAGCTTTGATTTTGTTGCATAGATTGCTACCCCAAATTCAAATGATATTAAGGTTTTCTTGAATCATTTCATCTTCTTTAATTTTTTATGCTTATGTTACTTTTTTTTTTCTCCCATGCATACACACCTAATTTCATTCTTTTTTGGCCAACAGTCTACTCTGGGAATGATCTTTATATCCGCCTCCAGTAACGTCCTACAACTCATACAACACATCACTCATTTTTTTTTAAAATTTATTTATAGCACTCTCAATTTCCATCCCAAAATCGTCATCTACCCAAATCTCTTAAAATTCAAATATCCAACATATTCTTAAACAATTTTATAACCTTAGGATCCACAGCCATATCCCATTCTAATTCAAAACTAAAAAACATCCAAGAAACTTACCTTGACCAATTCCATTTAGATTGAAATTGGAAACAATCATCCGGACACTCCCTCTTAAGCATACATCTGAAGACCAGGAGAAATCAATCCTCTCAATAGTTCCTGGAATATTTTTTTTCCAGAAAAAAAAAAGCTAGAGGGAAATAAGTGAAGAAGAAAGGATGCAATAGGTCTGTAAGTAGCTTCCTTCCAAAATAGCAACTTCTTTCATCTACTTTTTTGTCCATCTTCTCGTGTGCCCTCTTTTTTCGGCTCAAATGATTCATATATTATTTTTCAAAGGCATTAATTTTAAGACATTCAACAAACCTCACCATTCCTCGTTGATTGAAGTGTTCGATCTTGACTTCAAAGTTTAGATTATAAAGTTATGTTGATTGAAAAATCTTATAGCATGCTTAAGAACTTTGCTTATGAAGCTCTGCTGAAATAATATTAATTTTATTGCATAAATTACCTATTATTTGTTACATCATCCAAAGCAATATTTAGAGAGCAACTCTGCTAATCACTTGATAAAAACTAGAAAATAATAAGATTTATTATTTTCTTGTTATTATTATGGACTGAGTTGCTTGCTTATGAAAAATTTGTCTTTTAATGAACTTATTTAGCTTGTTAATATGTATATAGTAACATTTTGCAATGTTTTGCTAGTTGCATCTTTTGCATTTCTGCATAATAGTTGTCATATTTCATTTTATGTAAATAACTTGAAAATTTGAAGTAATGTAAGGTAGATCATGTGCATAATTGTCATATTATCTAACGTTGGTGCTATAAATCCCCAAATATTTACAAGGTAAATCTTGTTAACATATATTCTCCACCTTATCAGCATCAACAAAGAAATCATAGGGATTATCATACTTTTTTGTTTTGATAATTAGATGATATCCACAAGAATTCTATGAATTTAAGAATATCATCTCCACTTTCAATAAGAGATTTAATCTTGATGTACTTTCTGATTGGATAAATAACTTTTATATATATATATATATATATATTGTGAAAGCTACAATGTGCCTGTTCTCAAAAGAATTAAATTTGCTAAAAGAATGTATGTAGGTACTATAATAAGTTCTGCATGGATTAATATGAAACATACATTGAAACCATGAATAACAATGTTCAGCATTATTTTTTAACTGTTCAATTATATAAAATTTAAGAATTTTGATCAAAATATATCAATAATTTGATTATATATTTGTTATACATAAAGAGTTTATCGCCCAACATCATTTTGCCAACAATTATTTTGTTACCAAATCATTTCATTGAAGGCCTTCGACAAGTAGTGATGCATGAAGTATCATATTACTTCATATTTCAAGAGATTTAGACAATTCATGATGCTTAGAATTGCCTAGAGTTTGAAACACGCTTCATTTATTTTCCACCATAAGTATTACACATTTTCTTAGTATCCTTAGGGTTAGATTTTTCATATTCCATCTATTGCCTATTTGTCAGCTTCTTTCTTGAAGTACTATTGCGTAATATTTCTAAAAATAAACAACTTATTGCATAATTGTCAATTCAATTCCCTCTATGATTATTGCTGGTCTTGTCAGTGACATTGTAATTAGTGAAACCTATGAACTTCCTTTTGATGCTGATTAAGATTTGAAAAAGATTTTTGGAAGGGAAATAAATCTACATCTGACTGTGAACTTGAATGTTCATCAGAGATTATTCCAAAGCTCATATGAAATTACAATTAATTTTGATATCAACTTCAATTGTGAATCTAAACCTACACTAGAGCCTACATGAAAGCCCCCAACACCAAAGTATACATTATAATCTACATATGAGCCTATATATGTGGGTACAAATGTGTTAGACCGGTCCGACGGGACCGACCTGTGCGTGAAAGGGCGGAGGAGTTCCGCCTCCTGTACAAGCCGCGCGAGTCACAAGTCCATGGGGGCCGTTTTAGGAAGGAATTTTGAGGAAGTTTAGGAGGGAAATTGAATGTAGTGATTGTTTAGAGATTTCCTTTTGATTTGTATGAATTAAATACTTTATTTTCCTAAGGTCGGGGCATCTTGAATTTGGTGGAAATTTGAGATCTCTTAGGTTTTTTTTTTTGTATCTAGAGGCGTCTAGAGATTGAGAGAGATTGATCCTCCTCTCGAATAGAGGATCAATTGTTTCTTGGTATTTTCCGTTTCCCTTTCATCAAGTAATACAAATTATCTACTGCTTTTGTGTGGATTTTTGTGGAGAATTCTCGTTGCTTTATGAAGATTGATAGGAAATACTTGAGATCTATAAGTGTTTCCTATCAAATTGGTATAAGAGTAAGTCTTGGGACCATTCGTGGGCTGATTTTGGCGAATTCCTGCGGCTGAATTATGGCCGGGAAAGGAGAAAGTTGCTATTTTTGTAATCCAAATCCATAATTTTTGGATCTACAAAAATTCGGATCAAGATAGTACCCAAAGAAGTAGATGCACTTGAAGAAAGGCTTGAAGTTGAGATAAATCAAATCAAGACAACGGTGGAGGAAAGGATTTCCTCCATGGAAGGACAAATAGCCGATCTTTGGAACATGATAAAGAAAATGTTGAAAATCCACAACCAAATGGTGGCTTCCGTGGCAAAAGGGGTGGAAGGGAAAAACACGAATTTTGAAATCCATAGGGAGGAAGATGAGGTGGAAATCATAGAAGGAGAAAGAAGAAGACCCCATCTGGAGCCTATCCAGAGGGGAGAAAAGGAGGTGGATACAGGGAATGCCAAGAGGGGAGAAAAGGAGGTGGATATGGGGAATGCCAAGAGGGATACTATGACCCTCGAGGTGCTGATTTTGAAGAAAGAAGGGGGGAATTCAAAGGGAGTTTGGGCTGTGGCAGGGGCAAGGGAAGACTATGAGACGTGGGGAGGGCCTAATAATTGGGAGAGGGGAGGCTATGGAAGAGTAAGGGGAAATGGTGGAGATAAAAAGGTGAGGAAGCTGAAGATGCCCATATTTGAAGGGGAGGATGTGGACGGATGAATTTATAAGGTGAAGATGTACTTCGCCATCAACGGGCTAACAGAGGAGGATAAGCTGACAGCGGCAGGCTTGTGCTTAGAAGGGAAGGCACTGTGATTGTACCGATGGAGAGACCAGAGGAGACCTATCAGGAGCTGGAGGGAATTCAAGGACTGCATAATAGAACATTTCCAAACCGACCAGGGAGGAGATTTCTATGAGCAATTTTTGCTCTGGTGTAGGAGGGATCAGTAGCAGACTACCAGGAGTGGTTCGAGCACCTGGCCAGTAGGGTGGAGCGATTATCAGATATTGTATTTGGAGGGAGCTTCATGAAGGGATTGAAGGCAGAGATTCGAGCGATAGTGAAAGTTCTGATGCCTAGTGACTTGGGGTAGATCATGAAGTTGGCACAAATTGTGGAAAATCAGAAGAATCTAAAGAAGAGAGCCTGGAGCAACAACTCAGGAGGCTCTTATAAGACGACGACCACTCTTCTAGCACCCAAAGGGCCTGCATCAGGCAACATTAATGAGACCACCAAGGATAAGCTAGTAGGAGGAGGGAGTGGGAAAAATTTCAAGAGGCTGATAGAGAAGGAGATTGCAGGAGAAGAGAGCAAAAGGGTTATTTTTCCGGTGTGATGAGAAGTATACTCCAGGGCACAGGTGTAGTGATCGAACTCTTCAGGTTCTCATCGTCTGTGATGAGAGGAAACTGAGGAGGGAGGTGAGAGAGAGAGATGGGTGACAAGTTGTATCTGGATGTGACAGAGGTCTCCCTGAATTCAGTAGTAGGATTCACTTTGAATCATACAATGAAGGTGAAGGGGGAAATAGCAGGCATGGAGGTGGTTGTATTGATTGACAATGGGGCTACCCATAATTTCATTTTCACTCAGGTCGTCAACCAACTAGTAGTGAAATTGGTGGACACTGGCTATTATGGGGTGATTATGGGTACAAGAAAGGTGGAGAAATGTAAGGGGATCTGTAGAGGAGTGGTGTTGACTATCCAGGTGATTTAGGTAAGGGAGGATTTTCTCCCACTAGAGTTAGAAATTACTGATGTCATCTTGAGGATGAAGTGGTTGTAGACCTTGTGGCAAACCAAGGACAATTGGGGAGCACCACGATGTAATTAATAGTGGATGGGAAAAAGGTGGTTATAAGGGGAGATGCAGGGTTATCCAAAGCTATGGTATTACTCAAGACCATGGTTAGGGACACATACAAGAGGTGGGGGAAGATTATCTTGTGCAACTACATAGGCTGGAGCTGATTAGATTGGAGGAGGGAAGGGGATGTTTCTGTTTCAGTGCAGCCCTTGATTCGGCTATTCGGTAAGGTTTTTCAGCCACCTCAAGGATGACCACCTCCATGGGAACACGAGTGTATTTCCACCTCAAGGTGGATCTTTGGTAGGGGAGTATTGTTAGACCGGTCCATTGGACTGGTCCAGCTGGTTCGACGGGATTGACCCGTGCTCGAAAGGGTGAAGGAGTTCTGGCTCCTGTACAAGATGCGCGAGCCGCAAGTCCACGGGAGCCATTTTAGGAAGGAATTTTGAGGAAGTTTAGGAGGAAAATTGAATGTAGGGACTGTTTAGAGATTTCCTTTTGATTTGTATGTATTAAATACTTTGTTTTCCTAGGGTTAGGACATCTTGAATTTGGCGGAAATTTGAGATCTCTTAGGTTTTCTTTAGGCTCTAGCGGTGTCTAGAGATTGGGAGATATCAATCATCCTCTTGAATAGAGGATCAATTGTATCTTGGTATTTTCCATTTCTCTTTCATCAAATAATACAAATTATCTACTGTTTTTGTGGTTTTGTGTGGATTTTTGTGGAGAATTCTCGCTGTTTTCCAAAGATTGATAGGAAACACTTGAGATCTACAAGTGTTTCCTATCAAAATGACAATAAACTTGAGGCTATATTCTATTGATTAGCATTATCAATATATCATTGTCATGATAAGATTCAATAAAATTTAAAGTGGTCTATATCAGTGTCAAGGTCATTTGATAGATTAACAACTTGATGCACCCTTGATTAGGTTAGTAGAACAATTGACTTCATTACAAAACAAAGAAGAGCATATGAGTAGTGATGAGAATCATGTGATTAGATGGATATGTTTGTTGGAGATTGTACAACCGAGACATCAACTTATGGACTTTGAGCTGAAAATAGAATCTAAATTTTAAGCTGAAATTGATCAACTTATAATGTTGATGTTTCTATGTACCATTTGATAAACTTTCGAAGCAATTATTTGTTGGTATTATTACTATGTTAGTTATCCAACCATATATCGATTTGGCTTTTGTGCGTGTGTTTTTTTTTATTTATAAATTCATTAAAAGAATCTTATTGAGCATGCTACTTTACATTTATGTATGCGTGGGCTTAAGCATGATGATAGTTTTAAATCTTTACCTATCTTGTCAAATTGAAACGTGCATAATTCATTGTGTTAATCTTGAAATTTTTTTAATTTCTTTTCTTAAATAGATTTTCTGCCTACATGATACGTCTGTTTACTTACTAATGTTATAAAAACCTTAAAAGTTTTTGTTTAAATTTTCCTTAAACTTTTGACTTGTTGGAATCATCTTATAGCTTTTCTTCTAGAAAGCTTGTTGATCGTGCTTTATATTTTACTGCATTAATTATTATTTATGTACGTACATTACTATTTAATTTTAGGAAATTAAATGATATGCTAAGTAATGATTTTCTAACTATATCACATGTTCCTGTTAGTTTGGGTAATAGTGAAGTACCTACATGAAACTACTTATTGGAGCTTAAATGCCTTATTAGTAATGATTTTCTAACTATATCTTGTCAATGCAACTTTAGTTTTTGCCTTTACATTCTTGCTTCTGGAGCTTATTGATGTATCCTATCCATAGCATGATTCTCTAGCTTGTTGGAAATACCACTCTCCGGCTGATCACTCATAACCAAAAAATTCATACCATGTAGAATTTGATCTTCAGGATTTATTGCTATTTTCACTCTAGAGATTAGAGTGATTTATAGTTTGGGAGAATTAATGGCGCTATCTAGCTTTTGATTTCGGCTAATTTAGTACTTATGTTTATCTTTTGACATAGATATCGTTTCAACAATTATCTTGAATTTTTTAGTCAATTGTGTCATTTGGTTTGTAATGATTATTTTCTTATATTTATTTTAGTAGTTGTTATTGAGAATCTTACGTTCTAAAAGAATCCTTATGATGAATATTGATTTATTTTTTTATGAATGAAAATTTGTTTCTTATAGAATCCTTGTTCAGGTGGGAGATTTGAAAGTATTTTGGAATATTGCCTTTGCACTAATGTGAGATTTGATGTTACTATTCTTTATCTTTCATCTTTACCTTATTATTAATCACCCTTTTCATATAAATTCACCTATCTTTTTCTTGTTATCAAATTATCTTAATATTCATATAATTCCACTTAACCGATAAAATCATCTTTGCTTCTATCCTTGCACATTTATCAACAGTGTGATTATGATGCAAGTGTCCTCCAGAGTCGTAGCATATAGCCCATAATATGGTGCATGCTATTTTAAAGCTTCCACAAATAAAAGAGAATCATGAATATTTATTAATAATTGAGCAATCTGTGAGAAAAGGAAACAAAATTTTAGATGTTTATAAGATAAGATTGTTTTACTTTAATATATGTGAAGGGTAATAGAATACTATTAGATTGAAAATAAACTGTCATGACAAAGAAAACAGTTTAATTGGCAAATGAATTTATTATGGCTGTAGCAATACACACAATTAGAACAAATGCAAAATATTTGAGTTTGAAATTTCATAAAAAATATAATCACCAATATTCTCTTGGGAATATTAAAAATAGAAACTAAAGTAGCCATCCTTTTAATTTATCATCTTCATAAAACAAAATAGCTTCATCTTCTTCATCAATATCATCTTCCACATGACCAAAATCTTCTTCAAGCACTGAAATAGCCTCATTCTCATTACATCTTCCTAGAAGAGCAAAATAGGTTGCCAATTGTGCCTTGCACTATACTATTTTGATTGGTTGCACCTTGCAACAATAGTAGTTCATGTGATGCGCTTTGCTGCATCATGATCTATAGCGCTTACTATTTTGATTTTTTGGAAATTATGATTGCCTTGTATTTTTGGTACAATTTATTACATTTTTATACACCTATCTTGTTATGTGCAATTTCTTTGTGATAATTAGAGAGATCAACATTTTCCATGTTAGTTATTTTGAAGAGCCTTTTTATTTTGTCTTTCATTGTATTTTTTTGGGAATCTGAGAGAATTTAATTGCAAACACACACCTGTATACGTTAGGCTTCTAACTCCAAAACCTTATGGTTGGAGCTAAATCATCAAACCAGTAGGCCAATGTGGGCTGTGTTATTTTAAGAAAACTTACATATCAAAGTTACAACTATATTGATGGTGTTAAAATTGATTTTAGGAAACAAATAAGCAGTTAGTCTTTCTTGTTTTTTGGGTAGAAAAATGCCCAATTATTTAACCAAGTCACCTCTAGCTGCTCTTGAAATACTATTCTAGTCTTTTGATCCATTATTTGCTAGAATATGGACATATCTTGAAATTACTTTTTCTTGGCAATTTACTGTATTGGTTCACCATTTTAATTGACAAATTTGATTCTACCATACTTAACAGTTTCAAGTACATCATACCTTTCAATGGGATGCTTAGTTCATTATTTGTGAAAATCAAAACAAAATTTGTTACTTATCTTACTTTTTGTTTGGATGTTAGTTTTAGTTTTTTTAATACTAAAATGTTACCAGGGGAAGAGAGTGAATCCAAAAGAACTAAATCCATATCTCCAAGATGATGGAAGTGGGTATCCCAATGATGCATTAAACTCGGCTGGTGGTTCCAGCCAACTTCTTTCTTCTTCACTTGTTGGCGATGGAGGTGCAAGTTGGCGACTGAAAGCCTTGAAGCGTGCAAAAGAACAAGCTGCTCGTGAAGGACTAACACTCCAAGAGGCATGCCTAAATCTTAATGTACATATACAAATATAAAGTAAAAATTTTACTCAATATGTGTTATATATGCAGGTAGTCGGAGAACGATGGGGCTCATTGCAGGAACTAGCAACATCAGTGGCAGTTCATCGATCTGCCCCAGCTCATGCTCATTTGCATGCGATAAAAGAAAGAAAGAAGGGACAAAGTAATATAGAAGAAGCTCAGGATAAACATCATTTGTCTTCTGGGAAGCTTGATATGAAGAAGCCTAAGCAGGACAATTTGCAGTGGAGAAGCAAACATTTTAAGAAGATTTCTTTGGAGGATAGTTCTCTTGCCTCTGAGGCAATATCTTGCATAAATAAGTTTTCTAATGATGGTAGCTTTATGAATAGCATTATTAATCAGCAAAATGAGGATTCCTATGTCCATGACCATTCTTTCACTGAAACTAAAGAGGCAAAAAGTATCAATGAGGAAGATTTAGCTTCTGAAAGTAGAGATTTTGGCGAATTGCTTTCAACTAAAATGCAGGCTGTAAGTTCCAATCAGCTAGCTGCAAAAGTATTACAGCTTAGAATGAAAGGAAAGCATGAGGAGGCTGACAACCTTTCTGTAAGTTATTATTTCTGTTATGACTTTTAGTTCTTATCCTTTCGCTGATGGTTTTCTCTAGAAATTCTCCCATTTTGTAAATAGTTTTTGTTTTATAATAATGTTGTATTTTGAAATGTTGGCAAGTATATTGTTAACTATTTTTTAAAATATTTTTGCTTATATTATCACTCCATGATGTCGAATGATTAATCATTTAATCTGTAGACCACCAAAAATGTCATATATAGTTTAAGCTAATCTAATTGCCGGGACAACAAGAGGTACAAGCAAAAAAGTTGAAAGCAGCGAACATGTTCAGTAAATCTAGAAATAGTAGATAGGGGAAGATAATGTTAGAGAAGTTGTGACATAACATGTACTAAAAATATTTAGAAATTTTAAATGTTCACAATGTTTGTAAAATTGAATTTTGAAAATATTGTATCAGAGAATAATTGATTGAAGGTTTGTTCTTACCCTAAACCCAGTCTATTCTAATAGATGAAAATTTTGCTCTTAATTTTTTCTTTCTACTGAATTCCCTACGATGCTTAACCTTTATCTGGATTCCTTTTCTTGTAAATCAGAAGCACATGGATCTATTGGTAGAGAATTCAAATGCAAGATCCAAGGCTATACGACAAGAAGCTGGAGGCAAAAGTAGCAGGTTTGTCTATTGATTGATGATTTTCTAAATATAATACAATGAGTAGCATGCATCACACTGCATTGCATGAAATGTTTTATTTCTATACAAAACAATTTTCTAGAACCAGGACTTCTCTGCATCCCTTCCTTAGAAAAACACTATAAGAACAAATGGACAAACAAGTCTCTCAGCTAAGAAAAAACCCCTCATCGTCTGAAGTACCTAAAAGATTGCAGAAAACCATACTAATTTATATTATTGTCTTTAATTTTGACAACATAACAACCAAGCAAGCTATATTTTATAACTCAGTGGTGAATAACCTTTTGGATTAATAGTCAAACATATTAATTTTTCTGTCCCTTTAATTTTCTAATTAAACCTTATGGATAGGTTTATAGAGTTGCAAAGACATGAATGAAACTTCTGTAGAATATATCTCAAATATTTCCTGCATTATAGCAGAAATGGGCATAAATGAAACTTTTGTAGAATAAAATGTTTCAAATAGAGCTTTAACGCACTAGCTTTTCCATTTTTATGTATTAAATTTTAATCAAACTTAAAAAAAAAAAGAAGACCTAAATGACGTTTTCGTAAGATTGTAAGATACGGGTGACATTTTCTTAAGAGACGTGAAATTTCATGTTTTTGATTTAATTCAAGTTCTGTAGAACTGAACTTTTGACTCAATTCAAGTGATGTTATAATTGATGTTTTATTGGCTTTTGTAATTGCAGGTTTATTGAGAAACACTTATCTGGTGAAAGGAAGAAGCATGAGAATGATGGTGATAAGCATCTTGCACAGAAAATAGTACAAAATAGAAGATATAGCATGTCTGGAAATGCAGATGACGAGTATGATTTTTATGAGGGAGCTCCCAGCAGAAAACATAGTAAGAAAAAGGATGATGCACATGAAGATAAAAATATCTTACCAAAACAAATGTTGACTCAGAAAGAGCGCTGTCAATTTTGTTTTGAGAACCAATCTAGACCAAAACATCTTGTCGTATCAATAGGAAATTTCACTTACTTGATGCTTCCACACTGGGAACCTGTTTTACAAGGCCATTGCTGCATTCTGCCATTGCAGGCAAGTTTCCCTTGAAACTTTTCGGTTCAGTATTTACCTTGTCTTTTCCCCACATGTTGCTGTAACATATCATATGTAGTCACTATCAATATAGGGTAGAAGTGTATGCTTTCTTGCCAGATTACCTTTTCCAGTTCAGCATGTTTAACCATTTTTGCAAAGGCTCAATTAATACTTGTGATGATTATTTTCCTGGTACATGAAAGCTTTACTTTGTTGGTATGTTCAAAAGTTAATATGCTTGATAGCTTTGAAACCGTTTAGTACAATTTTTTATCTGAATTTCTTATCAGCAATTTATGCAGATAAAAAAAAAATCCAACTCATGCTATTAGGTTCTCACTTGCATTATTTATTTTCGTACTTGCATTGAGTTTTAAGCAAGCATTTATTTTTTATTATTCTGTCAGCAAGCATCAAAATGACCACCGATAACAAAGCTCTTATGCTGTTCTTCCTTCCATGCAGCATGAATCAGCTACCAGAACCATTGACAAAAATGTCTGGGAAGAAATTCGAAACTTCAAGAAGTGTCTCTTAAAAATGTTCTCTAAGCAAGACAAGGATGTCATCTTTCTTGAGACAGTTATTGGATTATCTAGGCAACGTCGACATTGCTTAATTGAGTGCATACCTATTCCTTCTCACATTGCAAAGCAAGCTCCATTGTATTTCAAAAAGGTATGTTTGCCACTAGTGTTGTTTGGATTTTTTATGTTCATCATGATATAATTGTGGCTCTTCAATGTAGTTTTTTTTTCCTATCTGAACTTTATTATAAATTTAAGGTTTCCCTGACTCTCTCTCATCACATATTCTTAAAGAAGTTATTTATTTTAATTGCATACATTCAATAATAGATTATTTTCTCATATCTATACATATTATTCCTTATAATAGTTTCAGGATGCTTGAATATATCACTTCTAGATAATACCTAATCTCTCAGCTACTTTGATTGATGGTTATTAATTTCAATGCCATTAAAACTGTATGTCATATACTTAGTTTTTTTCTACTAATCATAAACCTCTTATCTTATAAAGATTTTCTTCTTTATTTAATTATTTATTTATTTCAACATATATTCACCTATTAAAATTATCATTTTCAAACAGCATTTATTATGTTACATTGTTTTGAACATCACTTGTCCGCATCTCCATAATAACACACAAATGTGAACTTTAATGTTGATGCTTGACGTAATCTTATTGTGATTTGGAACTCTTTGACCACGCCACTATGGCTAATGTTAGTCAATGGTGCTTCACAGACATTTTTAATAACTTAAACATGTATTTGGCACAACTTTCTTCTTTAATACACATCAAATTTTATTGGCACTAAATCATATGCTTACTCATGCTCTCAATAGAAATTATATGGGATCATTTATTCTATATTTTCTGAATTAATTTCCTTAGCATAAAATTTGTTTTCTTAGTAAGATCTACATGACAGAAAATTCAGATATTGATGTGTTTTTGCTTGGTACATGATAACTTAGTCTTTCTCACAAATTTATATTGACTCAAGTTTGATTCTTCTATAATTACCACCATCTAGAAAAATTCATTTTGTACTTAGATACTGGCATCAATTATTTGTTTTTCAATCATTTGATTTCCTTCTAATCTTTAAGATTTCATAAAATGGTTTCGTAATCAAACTACTCTAAATATGTTCCATAATTGTAAATCTCAATAAAGATCTTATCTAAATCTTAAGCTTTATCATTATTCATTCTCCTAAGAAGCATGACAACATAACATTTTTTATGGGATCAGCCTATAATGTGCTTCATGATTCTTTTCATGCTGCTCTTTTGAGTACTTATAACACACACAATTTTATTGGAAACCTTTTAATCATTTTTACAAATACTCTTTTATAGGAGATTTATATTTTGTTAGGTTATTTTCTTCTAAATGTTTATCAAAACAAAATTTTGTGTTCTCAATCATATGACTTTTAGCAAGACACGTTATATGAGGACCTTTTCAATACTATTTATATATTTCATTAATATTCTTAGAGTAAAAGTCCCCAAATAGGATATCTTTCTATTATCAACCAAATTATTCTATTATCAGGATGATTTCTATAAACATATGTCTCAATACCCTTTCAATAACTTAATTTTATGACTCGTAAATTTGATTCTCCTATAATTAATTTATTACTTGATTTTCTATTTTGTTCTTAAAAATTTATATCAAAATATTTTTCTCCAGTTTGGACACTACCTTAGTCTTTAGGATTGCAATAAAAATTTATTAATTATATTACTTTAATGTCCCTCGTAATTCCTAAAATATTTATCATTCTGCATCATCTTTAAAAGTAATTAAAGTTCACAATTTGATTCAATCTATAATATACTTGATGTTTATGTTCATTTTTATTCTTAATGAAACTTTGATAATGCTTTCTCTGTCTTCACCTTATCATCAAGCAGTTTGATTCAGTCCTGATTTTATTGTTACGGCCTGCGTTAATTTCACCTGCATGCAATTTGCCATTGTTGGAAACATAGGGCACAGTTTCCCTCAAAAATTCTTCTGCGGGCTCTCGACTTATTATTACCTTCTGGAGGCTATCCAGGCAGATCCCTAAAATGCACTGGGTTGGTTATTAAGCCAACTACCAGCGTCAATATTTTTATTACTGTAGACAATGCATACCTTTTTTGTGCTGGTTATCACTGTGTATTATCATTTAGGCTTCGTTTGGGACGGCTTTCTTACTACTTCTTAAAGCAGTTTTTTAGTTCAAATTTAAAAAAATTTGAACTAAAAAAATGCTTTAAGAGTAGAAAGAAAGCTGTCCCAACCGAAGCCTTCATATGTATTCTACGTTCTCTGATACATTTGGAATGTTTTTGCAGGCTATTGATGAGGCAGAGGATGAGTGGGGGCAGCATGACATGAAGAAGGTCATACCAACAAATGGGAACTTACGGAGTGTTATCCCTGAGAACTTCTCCTACTTCCACGTTGAATTTGGGCTGGACAGAGGCTTTGTCCATGTCATTGATGATGATAGCAACTTTCCTAGTAGCTTTGGCTTGAATGTAGTCCGAGGCATGCTGCGCCTCCCTGTGGAGACAATGCACCATCATCAGAGAAGAGAACCAGCTGAGAAACAGAAACAAGCCGTTGCCACCTTTGTCCAGGAATGGGAGCCCTTTGATTGGACCAGGGAGATTGATTGATTCGTACAGTTTGCCACTGCGTTTTGAAAGGAGGCTGTTTTCTGATTCCAATTTGGAGAGCAGGTTAGTAAGCTTATACAGCGGCTTTAATAACTTGTGAGCTGGGTTTTTAGTCCTGAGGACTTATGGTGCATGCGATTAATATTCGTGGTTCAGCTTGAGGGGCTTGTCGAACCAACAATGGTGGATATCAACCTGGTCCTTTGCCTTGTGAGCTTACGATGGAGCCACAACTCAATTTTGATGACATGTAATTTTGCGATAAGAATATTTTTTGGTTTTTTTTTATTACTATTTGACATTGTATTTGGTTTATCGTTCCCATGATAATTTTGTAAATTATATTCTTATGCGAGCTGATGGGCAGGCATAGATGAGCTGGTCAGATGGGCGGGCACGGGCGAGATGGTGGCATATTAGAGCAAAAAAATATTTTTGAGGGAGGGCATTTGCCTACTTTGAAGCAAGGGGGGATCTGACCATGCTTTCAATTTGTTGCTTCTTATCAAATTGACTTTTTGAAGGTAGAGATATACTTTCAACTTGTTGCTTGTTCAAGTTAGGGATACATGCCACTATTCATTTGCTTTCTTTTTGACATATGATTAGGATCAAGTTTGGCTTGTAGCTTGTTCAAATGTGGGCAGGCTGGTGGCGATGACTGGTGGTGGTGTAGGCGGTCAACAGGCAGTGACAATGGTGATGCATATGTAATGCATTTGAAAATTGTTCAAATCTGGGGTAATCTAAATGCGCCTAAAATGAACTAGTTGGTGTCTTTAAAATGCACTCATTTTACACCCTACATTTCCTTTTACTTCAAACCAAATATCAATATATTTAAAGTCTCTACATTTGAAATATTTTACTTCTTCTTTGCAACAAATCAAACAACCGTTTGTTGCCAATGAGGATAAAGTTTGGCTTTGTAGCTTGATTGATTGTGGGTTTTTTACTTTGGCCCTTTTTCCATTTTTTATATTTTATGAGAGAGAGGGCTAGATAACTTTGTATTGAGTAAAACTTACTTTTCATGTTGGCTTAGTGAATTAAGATAGATGAGACAATTCTTCTTGGTTGGAATATTTCCAAAAGCTGGCCTTTCTCGGTTGGTAGGTTCACCAATGAAGACCTAACAAGTAAGGCTTTTGCTGTATTTCTGAAAAATTATATGAGATTATTGCGAGGTGCTATTGTTTATCCTGATAAGCCCATTGACCTTAAAAAAAAAAATCCTGATAAAAATACTTCACCTCCTTATCGAGAAATTATTAGGTGCGGAGTGCAGACGGGGAGAATTCCCCGCCTGCACACTAGTATAAGATCCAGCTAGATACCGTTCGGTACCGCTGGGTATCACTAGGTACCGCTTGGTATCCTATATTTGTGCAGATGGTGCTCTCCCAATCTGCACTCCGCACCTAATAATTATTCCTCCTTATCCGTTCAGATAATGAAAAGAAATTCCCAACTCAGCTCAAACGTCTTGTCAACTTATAAGTGGGCAGAGCTATACAAATTCAAAGGATAAGTATCTGGACCATATCATCATGTTCTATGGCCATTCTCGCTTGTTAGCTTCCCAGGTTCTGTTGGGCTTATAGATAAGCTTCCATATATCGCTTTCAGCTCTTATGAATATTTCGTTATATGATGATGCAAAGCAATAGGGGTTGCCAAAGTAGTGGTTTTACGCACGCAATTGCCACACTTCAGCCTTATATATCACAAAAAAACTAATGATACAGATGTCGACAAATGATTCGCTAATTTTATGATATTGAAGTACTCGAATTAAATAAAATTTGCTGAATACATATAATAGCACATATATAATAAATTTCAAATTATATGAGTAAAAATTAATAAAAAAAAAAACATATAAAAAGTGCAATAATTTTTAATGAGGGGCTTGGTATCCAAAGTTTTATATTTTTATCATAGGACTTAATCAATGATCAAATATTCATAAAAATTAATAAAAACATATAATCTTAAATTTTACATTTAACATTAATGACCATGATTTTATGTTTAAATTTAAATTTTTTTAAAAAAGTGTGAACAATTAATGTTTTCTTATACTAAAAATAATAATATATTACTATATGCTTATCTACATATGAGAAACTTCTCTCCTATGATTGAAATGATAAATTTTATATTTATCATCTTATACAACTTTAAAATCTCACTATTAAGTTTATAAACAATAACAAAAAAAAGAATGGTGAAGCCTTCTTTTGGATGGCTTTAGACCATTATTATAAAGTAGCAAAAAATCATCTCAAACAGGGAAGATTATTCTGTGTGGGGATCAGACGGCGAGAACCATTTGAATTTGCTGTCATTTTATTGCACTTTTGCTGCGCATATGTAAATGCTGAACAAAAATGCAGCAAATATAAAATTATGAATGCATTTTTATTGAGTATTTGCTGTGATTTTACAAAAGCACATCAAATCTTCAATTAGTTGGATATTTGCCTCACTTTAGCTACGCTTTTGATGCTATTTTGTTAAAATGCAACAAATACTCAGAAAAAATGAATTCATAATTGCATATTTGTTACCCTTTAATGAGTATTTGTAAAAACACAACAAACTAGTAATAAAGGACAACAAATTCGGATAGTTCTTGCCCGTCCGGTCTCCGCACAGAATAATTTCTCCTCAAACAGAGAATAAATTCTCATGGATACAGATCTCGGAAACTAGAAAAACATAAACTAGCAGTCAAATGCATGAATGCAGTTCTATTGTATGGCTCATCTCTGCCAAATTTCATCAATATTTTACACGCAAAGCAACTAAACAGAAATGAATTTTCTTGTTTTTTGAGCATCTGAAGTCTTGAAACAGAAAGTTATTTAATAAAACCTTCTGATTATTGTAGCACTCATACAAGCTCAATCATTGTACTCAAAATAAGACATGAAGAGCAGCATTAGACAAATAAAAAGTAAACTATACAATAAGAAAAGAACAGACTATTGAAGATAAGGTTACATGAATGACATTCAACTGTGGATTAATGCTAACACTTTACAAGATGGATAACACAACAGTAGACCCTGCATAGTAAAAACCCATGCGAACCTTTGGAACCGGATCAACTCCACTACTTCTTGCAAACCTACTCCATCATTCTATGAAATTTCCCTTGTGGAACTCTTCCTGAAAAGCTGAAAACCTTTTTATAATTATATTGTTCAATGAGTTGCTCTAAAAAATAAATACAAAGCCCATTAAAAACTCATTCATCTATTTTAATTCGTTTGAACAAAGAAAGCTGTTTAAAACAAAATCAAAATCAACTTTCAGCATAAAATTAGCACAACCACAGGATGTAGGAGCTGGAAAGTTGGAAAAAAAGCAAAAAAATTGAAAATTTGAAAAGATAAAGCGAAAAATCAATAGTTCAATAAAGAATAGAGAACAAAGCAAGTGCCAATAGTTCATTATAGAGCAAGTCCCCAACAATAGTTACCATGGGGAGTGTGAGCAACTCCTTCTCATATATCTTCTTCTAATATCATTAACAAATTACTCAGATTCTGATTTAGGCATCTTCTCTAGAAAGGAAAGGAGTTTCAAATGCTTTTAAAGAGCTCCATCCCAAGAGCAAGCTAGGCTTGTCTTGTTGATTGGAATTCTAAAACAAATCCCACGCTGATTTCATCTAGTGTAAGTTATAAGGTTGAATCCATGCCCCAGTGTTTAATCAAACAAGTTTGGTAGGAATATTTTGTGGAGCACTTTGTCCAACCTTGATATTTGATACTATCTCAATTACTTCTTGCAGCCTTAGTGCAGTTGTTCCTCTTTAATCTCAGTGCAATCATTCCTCTTGGGGCGCCTCATATCCTCTCATGAATCACTCACCTTCTCTATTTGGAGAAATTATTGTGTGCGGAATCCGAACGTGTTCGGAGATGAATTCGGGCATGCCACGTCACCGGGCCCATGCATCCGGTGACGTGGCGCATCCAGATTCGTCTCCGAATGCATTCGGATTCAGCACACAATAGTGCTCTTAGCACTTGCCATTCATACTTTGCTCTCAATAAGGAGGCTCTGAGGCCTAGGCTGCTTTGCCATTTTAAGTTTTTAGTCTTCTCTTTCAGCTCCCCTTGGACACTAGCTCTGTAATATAACTTTTTAGTCTTCTCTGTTCCTAAAAATCTTATTTAATTCTATTTATTTGCCTTCTGATCTCTTATATTATTGGACTTATCAAAAGTTTGAACTTTGTAATCCTAAAAATCCTCAATATAAAGAACCACAGGCAGTGTCAATAAGCCCAACAGAATGACCACAAACTTGCCAATCACAGGTAGACAAAACAAATAATGAAATTCCGCATGGTAGTCAGTAAGGGTTTCCAATTGCAGGTAAGAGTAGATACAAGAAATATCTTTCTTACTGCATAGAAAGGTAGATAAGCGCACCTAAACGAGAAGAAAAGCTTCAGCCGATAGGAAAGGGGCCAATGTCACCCGTGCGAAGAGCGCGAGCGATTTCGTCGGCGACGATAACGCAAGACGATATCCAGCCGTCGAGCAAAGACCAGACCATGTTCACTATATAGGTTGCCAAACTCAAAGGCATCGCCATGGCCATCTCCTCCTTCGCAGCTCTGCTTTCCTTCAATAACACGTCTGGCGCTTCTCACCGAACTCATAAATATTTTATCCAACTCGTCCTGAGTGGCCCAATGGGTCAGCTTTAGAGTGTCCTCCACGTTTGGAGCCTTGCGCCTGAAAGCAAATAGGAGAAGTAATCGGGTCGTCTCCGTCGCGTACGATAAAAAAAAGGGGTTTTTTTTAGGGTTTTACGATAAGAAAACAGTAGAAGGTTTTACCTTTTCTTGGAGATCGGTTGAATCGCTACGAGGAAAGAAGGAAAGAATCCGGTATCGGATAGACGCTGAGACGGATAGGGATTTATGATTTGTAGCAACCTTATCCTAAAAGCATGTAATAATTTAAAAAAAAAATGTCTTTTTCCTGCCAGAGCGCAGCCGACTTGCCGCCGACCTGCGCCGGCCCCAACCACCGGGACCCGCACTCTATATGGATATATTTTTTATTTATAAATTTAAGAAAAAAATTTCTGAAAGGAAAAAATTGTACGTCCCACCGAATTTTGTATGAATAAAAAATTGACACGTTATATTTCTGTGATATATATGAAAAATAAATAATTAGAATTTTTTAAATAAATTCAAATATAATGCAGAAAATATTATAAAATAAGAAATATTAGTATATTTATTTATAATCAGTAAAATAATATTTTTGGATAAAATTGACACGTGGCTATAAGAAAATTTGTGGTTGTAAACTAATAGAATTGATTAAAAATTTAAAAATTATTGTCAAAATCATATGATTGAATCTCCTTTATATCTAATTATATATTTATATATCTTGCTTCTATGAATTATTTTTTCTCTAATGTTTATTACTTTTGAGAGATAAATAAGATACTATGACAATAACAACATATGATAGCGTTTTCGAGAGTGCTTTGGAGATTTCTAAAACAGAAATGAGTTAGGATGAATTTTTTATTGCTTCTCAAAACAGAGTTTTAGTACTAGACATTTGTAAGAGGATGTACCTTCGTGCATGTTTTTTGCAAATGATATTCTTCTTGTTGATAAGAATAAGAGGGAGTTGATGAAAACTTGAATTATGGAGGTCAACATTAGAGTTTAAAGATTTTTTATTTAAGTAAATCTAAAATCGAATCCAATGAGAGTAATTTTAGTAGTAATAAATTTAGTGTTGTGATTGTGACATTGGTTGATCATGTCGTTAAAAAGATTGCATATTTTAAATATCTCGAGTTTATTGATTTAAGCCATGGTGAAATAGGTGGGGATATTAATAGTAAAATTCAAGTACAATGGTTGAAGTAGAAAAATGAATCGGGTCTACTATGTGATAGAAAAATACCCCTCGAACTGCAAAGAAAATTTAATAAGTTGACGGTGAGATTTGCAATGCTCTTTGGTGCAAGATGTTTGCCATTAAAAGAGAAACATAAAATTAAGTTCAATGTTGTAGAGATGAAGATGCTCAGTTGTATGTATAAATTTAGACTTAGAGACATAATGTGAGACATGCATGTGCATTAAAAGGTTGGAGCAGCTCCTGTGGTAGATAAGAATAGAGATAGTCGCCTTAAATAATTTGGTCACATAAAATGTTGGTTTTTTTATAACACTGTTAGGAGTGTAGATATATTAGATCTGATATATATATAAGAAAATGTAGAGATAGATCTAAAAAGATTTTATTAGAAAGTATTAAAACCAAGCTTTCTTTATTTGATTTGAATGAAAATTTGATACTTAATAGAATACAAAGAATACAATGAAGAAAAATGATTCATGTTATCGATCCCAAGTAATTGGTTAAATGCTTGTTGTTATTGTTATTGTTGAAGACAAAATGTCCTTCAAGTAAACAAAACAAATTTCACTTTCTTTTATTTTATTTCATATGTAATTCCCTAAACCCTAAAAAAAAAAAAACATTTACTTTCTTTCTATCTAATTTCAACCTTTCTTTTCATATTCTAAACACAGCCAACGTTTATCCTTAGAGCTGTGATTTTAGCTCAAATAAAATAAATCAATTGAAAAATCACAGCAACTAAGCAAAGCCATAAGCTAATCAGTTTGATCCAAGCAAATTTTCATCCAATTTTGAGCATAGGTAAATTTGCTTGATAAGACTTGAAATTAGATAAAAATATATATATATTTTAAATTTAAAGAGTATTATTAATTTGTGTGTATGTGACTTAGGCTTCGTTTGGGACGGCTTTCTTACTACTTCATAAACCGGCTTTCTAGTTCAAGAATTTTATTTTTTGTGCTAAAAAGCCGCTTTAAGAAGCAGAAAGAAAGCCGTCCCAAACGAGGCATTAGTTTAGCTTATGTTTTGATGGAAATTTTTGGTCGGCCAAGTAATCGATTCTGCGATCGTATAATTTGCAAAAGCTAGGTCTTAGGGGGTTGTGCTCAAAACCTTAAATCCTCAACAATTTTTTTTTTTGAGCCATTAGATCAAATTTTACTCCAATTAAAACTCTTATCCACCCCTTATTAATAATATGGGAAAGCCATACCCACTAAAATCCCCCACTCTTTTTCTATCTCATAAGTTTTCCTCTAAAAATTATTCCTTCTTCTGATTGTCTTATTTTTGGGACTTATCTATTCACTACATATATTGTTAACTATCACGATCATTATTTTCCAATTTATGGTCATCTCTTTTCTTCTATTAATCGAGCTGATAAGTAGGGGTGTCAATTCGTGTCAACAGGTCGGGTTCGGGTCAAACTCGGAACTGACCTGGCATTATTCGGGTCAATCCGAACCCGACCAATTTTTGGTCAGGTTTTCGGACCCCAACCCGACTCGATTCGAGTTCGGGTCAACTCGACCTGACACAAATTGTCACGACCCGACCCGACGGGGACGGATCCCGCCCGAGCCGGATCGCGACGAGAGACCTTTCTTAACCAGGATCTGGCTTTGGATTAGGTTACTGAACTGATCTTTCAAATTCTTAACTCAACAGAAGCACACAGAACAACAGAGCTACTAAAAACATCAAATGCAGCGGAACAAAACATCTATCTTTTCATTTCCTCAAAATAATCATCTACAGAACGCGGGCAGAGGGCGGGATTTCAAAATTTTTTGAATTAAACGAGTTGCCGGGTTGACCCGAACCCGACCCGTTTTTTGAAACGGGTCAATTTCTGGAACCCGAACCCGACCCGTTTTGAAATCGGGTCGGGTCCAACCCAGCGGGTCCGGGTCGGGTTTTCGTGTCGTGTCAAAAATTGACACCCCTAATTAAAACCCATCTTTCTTTATTTGATTTGAAAGAAATTTTGTTATATAGAACACAAAATTTATTAAACAAATGAGTAATATAACACAATGGAGAAAAATGATTCATGTTATCGATCCCGTGTAATTGGTTAAATGCTTGTTGTTGTTGTTATTGTTGTAGACAAGACGTCCTTCAAGTAAAAAAAAAAAAATAACTTTCTTTTATTTTATTTCACATGTAATTCACTCAATGAAAAAAAAAAACATTTACTTTCTTTCTAATTTCAACCTTTCTTTTCATATTCTAACACAGCCAATGTTTATCCTTAGAGCTGCGATTTTAGCTCAAATAACATAAATCATTTGAAAAATCACAGCAACTAAGCAAAGCCACAAGCTAAATAGTTTGATCCAAGCAAATTTTCATCCAATTTTGAGCATAGGTAAATTTGCTTGATCAGGCTTGAAATTAGATAAAAATATATATTTTTTTAATTTAAAAATTCTTATTAATTTGTGTGTGACTTAGGCTTCGTTTGGGACGGCTTTTTTTCTGCTTCTTGAAGCAGCTTTTTAGTACAAAAATTTTAATTTTTATGCTAAAAAGTTGCTTCACGAAGCAGTAAAAAAGCAGTCCCAAACGAAGCCTTAGTTTATCTATGTTTTGATGGAAATTTTTGGTTGGCCAAGTAATCGATTATGCAATCGTATAATTTGCAAAAGCTAGGTCTTAGGGGGTTGTGCTAAAAAACCTTAAAATCCTCGACAATTTTTTTTTTAGCCATTTGATCAAATTTTACTACAATTAAAACTCTTATCCATCCCTTATTAATAATATGGGAAAGCCATACCCACTAGCAAATCCCCACTCTTTTTCTATCTCATAAGTTTGCCTCTAAACATCATTCCCTCTTCTGATTGTCTTATTTTTGGGACTTATCTATTCACTACATATATTGTTAACTATCACGATGATTATTTTCCAATATATGGTCATCTATTTTCTTCTATTAATCGAGCTGACAAGAATGGGTGTCAATTCGGGTCAACGGGTCGGGTTCGGGTCGAACCCAGAATTGACCCGTCATTATTCAGGTCAAACCGAACCTGACCCGTCCCGAATGACCCGGGGTTGACCCAAAATTGCTAGTTTTTGGGTAAAAAATTGGGTCAATCTTCAATTTTCGAGTAAAAAATAGGTCAATCTCGGGTCAAATACGAGTTTTCTTGTCAATTTCGTGTTAATTTCGGGTCAATTTCAAGTTGTTGGATCAACTCGAACCCGACCCGATTTTTAAAACGGGTTGATTTGTTGAACTCGAAAATGGCCCGTTTCGGGTTTGGGTTGACCCAAACCCGGATTTTTCCTGGTCGTGTTCGGGTTGACCCAAACCCGAATTTTTTCCAAGTCAGGTTCGGATCGTCTTTCGGGTCGTGTCAAAAGTTGACACCCCTACTGACAAGTTATAGTAAGATGCTTTCATGACAATACACTAGAATATCTTTTTATTTGGATTTTTAGGATAAGTATGTATCTAACTTTATGTGTAATCTGATTATTATTTTTTATTATCTATTGAATTTTGATGTCTTGACTCAGTACACTAAAATTGGTCATATGTTGTCCCTAATGAATTCCAATTTGAGAGGAAATAGCTTTAAATGCACCTTTATCATACTTTATCTAATTTTAAAAACCACTTAGATATGTTCAAAGCATTTGTCCATAATCCTATGGTCTTTGTTTTGTAGTTCATGAGATCTAAAATGATTCATTGTTTTGTTTGAATGGTTTGTTTATTTCTTGCTATATGTCATACATCTAAGGTTTAATAATTTGAGATTGAGATACATTGTAGGGAGTATGACTATAGGTCCTATTGGTTGGGCATCTAAATTTTTATTTTTTTTATGAGGCATCACCAAGGGTGGAATCATGAAGAGCTCAGGGTGGGCTATTATCCTGCAATTTCCTCATTTAAGTTTAGGTGAATCCACTTTCAAGCATTTTAGGCTATCAGATAAAATTGTTTTTTATAACTTATTAATACCCACAATTTATGAAGCTGACATTGATGTGGAAAAAAGATGGAAAAGTATGAGAATTGTAAAGTATAGTAAATGAACTATAAAAATAATTTAGCTCATTTTTGAGGTAAACAGTTCTTGCCCAATTTTGAGCGAGAATTATTTACAGTGCAAGCAAGTTTGACCACAACTAATCGTGCCTTTTCTCGGTGGCCGTCGGCCGCCACCCACAACCAACCAACACCTATGCCGCCAGCCTCCGGCCACCAATCATCGTCGTCAACCACCCATTACCGGCCACCTCCGCCACTTGCTGTCGACCACCTCCACCGCGACCACCACCGTCGCCATCATCCGCCACCGCAGCCGTCACCGCCATCCTTTGGTCACAACAACCATCGCCGGCGCCGCCACCATCAGCCACTACCACCCTCCAGTCACCACTGCTTCCACCCTCCGACCACTAGCCCACCACTGTCAGCCACCACCACCGCCACCCTCCTTCCACCACAACCACCGACCACCTCCACCCACTACTATCACCCATCGATCGCCATCATTTTTAAACTTTACACTACATTTATTTTACTTCAAATTAAAAAAATCATTTGTCTGAATTTACTTTAGACTCATGCAAATAACTCTAAAGTATTCATTTTAACATGTACTTCTTTTAGCCAACCAAACAGCCCCGTAAATAGAAAGTATTCAATTCTTTTTTATGATCTATTCACGATTTTGTATTCCAAGCTTTTGATCATGAAATGATAATTAACCTATGATAATGCTGCAAATATGACAAAGGACTGTAATAACCCAACTAAAAAAATTTAGATTTGAGTTGACTCGTTTAATAAACATGTCGTATTAAGTTTGGAATTTCCAACCCGTTTATTGAACAGGTTAAGTTCATATTAACTTGTAAACCCATTTTTGACCTGAAATGATCCAATTAATATATTTTTTTTTACTTGCATGTATAATCTTCTTATATTTTATCAAATATGTTAAATTTTATAATTGATAAGTTAGAATTTTTTTAAAAATAAAAACGGATTAATAGGTCATATTCAGGTTGATTAGATTCATGTTATATCAATTTTGAGTCGAATTCAAACCTAACCCATCAACCTGTTTTGATATTCCTTAAAGGGCATAGAAGTAGGCATCTTTACACTATCCCTCCCTAACTCCCCATTACTTGTATACCATTAATCACATTCAAGTCCTGTAAATATTTTGAAGATTTCAAGCTATAAAAATCAAGCAGCTTCATATAATTCATCTTCCTCCTACATACATCAAAAGAAGAAGAAAAATAAATAAACCATCGACAGCAACACTATATTTAAAATTACTGAAAATGAATATTGAAATTTTAAAGAATAATCTATCTATACAGGAATTACACAGCAAAATGTTTCAGACGCAATTGAGATTTCCTCCAACTACTCCTACTTACACTCAAGATTAAGGCTTCATTTGCAACAGCTTTTTTCTGCTTCTAAAACCAGGCTTTTAAGTATAATTTTTATACTACAAAGCTGTTTTAAGAAGCAATAAAAAAGCCGTCCCAAACGAATCATAATATTTCGTTTGAGACAACTTTTCTTATTACTTTTTAAAACGGCTTTCTAATACAAAAATTTATATTTTTATATTAAAAAGCTGCTTTAAAAAAACAGTAAAAAAGCTGTATCAAGCAAAGCCTATTTCAAGACAACATAAATATTCAGGCCAGTATCAATAAAACGCTATGCTAAATTATAATTTCACACACACCATCGACTGGTTCCCTGAAGGCCTGTTGATCAGTTATTGTTCATGCCCAGGAAGTACAAAGAAGCTGTCAATCCTCGTTCGGTTCAACTGAAAGAAATGTATTCAGTTCATCTGTAGCTGTCTCAAGATGTTTGATTAACTCTTGTTATTTCTGATTTAGATCTAGCAGTTCACATACTGCTTTCAGCACTCCAAAACTAATTTTTATATAGAACTGAACCAATTAAACCTGCTCAAAGAGCTCATGCCTTCGTAAGCAAATATCTTCTGAGGATGCCATGTCGTCTTCATCGTGCTTTGACATCTCACCATTCTCATTATTGAGTCGAGTTGATAGAGTAGGAGACAAAGGTGCATATGTGCCTGAGAGATGGCGAGTTACTCTTAATACACAGTTGAAGTCCCTTTAACTATAGTGGGGATGAGACAGAGAGAAGAGGAGCAATGGAGGAGAGAGGGAGGGAGAGAGAGCGAGAGAGAGAGAGAGAGAGAGAGAGAGAGAACCTCTGGTACTCTTCTCATAGTCCTTTGTAGCATGTAATAAAATTGTCCCAGACAAAACAACAATCAAGCCGCAGATTTCAGAGATTATGCTTCCTCCACTTTGCCCCTCCCAATCCTGGAAGTATGAAATATAAAATTTGAACTTTTAGGTTGAAGATTAGGTAGGTATTAGTGTAATATGTCGCCAACCTTCCTCGGTTGAATGCTGTAAACCAAGTGAAAATAAAATAAAGGCTGCAAAAAATCAAATGCTGCTTTAAAAACCAAATCAACAGACACAAATGCTCCTGTGGTGATCCATATGAAGTGGCCAAGCATGTACAAAAGATGTGTTGTAGCCTGATAGGAACCATTGATGAATTCACCAGAATAGAACAGGGAAGACGGATAAACACTAATTCCAAATGTTGAAAACACTAAAAGATGTAGGATTGATGAGGGGACAAGCAGAATAACAATGAGAGGTCTATGCTTCTAACTTTGTGTTAGACCGGTCCAGCCGGTCCACACGGGACCGGCCCAGCGAACGGAAGCGGAGGTACCGCACAAACCGAGAAGAGCAAAAAACGACTGTTTAGGAAGGATTTTGAAGGGAGTTTAGGAGGGAAATTGAATGAGGGACTTTAGAGATTTCCTTTTGAATTGTATGCATTAAATAGTTTGTTTTCGTAGGGTTAAGACATCTTGAATTTGGCTGAAATTTGAGATTTCTTAGGATTTCTTTGGCCTCTAGCAGCGTCTAGAGATTTGGGAGAGATCGATCGTCCTCTCGAATAGAGGATCAATTGTATCATCTTATTTTCTTCCGTAGTTTGTTTTCTTGCAATAATACTATTTTTTCTGGTTATCATTAGAGTTTGGAAGTGTTTTCTCGCTATTTTTTTCTTGAATTGATAGGATTTACTTGAAATCTTTAAGTGTTTCCTATAACATTGCTAGTTAAGGGTGGAAGTGGGGTTCAGCAATATGGAATCTTAATGCTATGGCACTTCGGTTTAAAGACTTGAACAAGTGGTCTGGACAGTTATCTGGGCCATTTGTTTGTATATCAGGGCTCAAGCTATGTGACAATAAGGACAGGTGGGTCAAATAACAAAATTGAGCAAACATTTAGAAAACAGATAAAGCAGACAGATCCTCAAACAGGAGAAATTATTGTGTACGCAGTCCGAACGCAGGGATATGTTCGGATGCTGCGTATTTACTGCTTATTTGTTGCGTATTTTTTGTGTATTTAATTTTTTCTACGTATTTTTTGCGTATTTATTGTGTATTTAGTAATACTTGAAAACTACAAGTGTTTCCTATCAGCTTGCAAAGAACAATGGGCGGCCAAAGAAGATGGGATGTCGACGATGATCGAAGCTGAAGAAAATGGGTGGTGGATGAAGATCGACACTGAACAAGATGGGCGATCGACGCCAAATGAGATGGGTGGTCGACGACGATCGACAACGATCGACGTCGAAGGAGATGGACGGTCGACGACTATCCTCCGCTCCAACTTCCACTCGAATGGAGAGATCCGCCGCCCCACTATCCTCATCTCCAACTTCCACTCCAATGGAGGAATTCACTGCCTGACCATTTAGTCCGCAATTAACCTGCGGCTGTTGTCCCCGACTAGCCTTCGCTCCAACCCCATTTGGTCACCCATGATTCCTCCTCCGCATCTTCTCGCGACCATACTCGCAATCTCGATCCCCTTCAACAAGATTCCGCTGCTACCAGTCCACCATTGCTGCTAGCTCCCAATCCGGCCATTCCGGCGTCGTCCCTTTGCTCCCAATACAAGCCCGCGCAACCAACCCACTTGAACATGATCCTTCCGCCGATGATATTAACATTGACGAGGAAGAGCGATTCGTCGGACCTCTTCCACCTCCAGATCCGCAAATTCCCTCTGACTCCTCCCGCGATACAACCCAGCTCTCTCCATCCGCAGCCAACCAGCAACCCATCATCCATTCTTCACTTGAACGATCCCAGATCCGAGCGAGCCCGACCCTAATTCCGCCTTCTGATTCGCTTGTGTCTTCGTCGTCGCTCCTATGCTCTTCTAGCATGCACGTACGCCTTAACGCCTAACCACTTGTTCGAGTGCAACACCACTTCCAACTTTTACTCTCATATCCACGGCCCGAGCAGATCGACAATTCAACGCCGATTTCTCCTTAGCTTTATCTCACGATCAGAGCCGCAATTATGCTTTGTATCATGACCAGAACGGCGATTATGATTCTCTCCAATGTGATTCCAATCCCAACACCAGTCCGCTTCCACTCCCATTGCCACTATGCTCCGATGATCCCAAGCCCACTCCGGCGTCCCTCAAGACTACATTTGCTCCCACTTAATTCCCATGATCCCACTACATTAATTTCTTTCAATCATTTGACCTGTTTTAGGCCCTGTTTTAGGCCTTTGAATAATGATGAAATGAGATTCAACAAGCCAGTAGTGATATCCTACAACAAGCAGCGGAGAGACGTTGCTACTGTTCAGAACATTCCTAACAATCAAATTGATAAGACCTTTACTTTTGATAAGGTCATCGGTCCATTATCACTGCAAAATTATTTGTTTGAGCAAGCAGTCTCCTCTATTGTGAGCGAAGTTCTTGAGCGTCATAACAATACTATTTTTGCATACAGACAGACATGCATTAGAAAATCATACACCATGGAAGGAGGAACAGCTAATGCAAAGAAAGGAGAACTTCCAAATGATGCTGGTGTTATTCCAAGGTTTGTTCGTCAAATCTGTGATAAGCTTGAGGGTCAGAATTCTAACTATAGTATGAAAGTTTCATTTCTAGAGCCATATAATGAGGAGATAGCCGATCTTCTGGCACCTGAAAAACCCTGAAGAACCAAGGCTCTTAGAGGACAAATCAAGAAGCCGATAGCTCTAATGGAAGATGGAGACTTGGGTTTTGTCTTCAAGTATTCTCCAAGGAAATTCAATATAAAGGTTGAGCAAAGTGCAAGGCAACAACAAAAAGTAGACATGTATATGAGGAGCACGCAGCAATTCACAGTCTTTAGCCAATATGAAGCTTCTAAAGTCCTGCATGAGGCTTCTAAAAGCTGGCTTTGAGCTGGATGTGTTTGTTGAAACTAGTTTGGCCTCGATGTATGCATAATGTGGACTCATTGATGATGCCCAACAGGTATTTGTTAAGATACCTGACAATGATGTTTATTTTTACAACACGATGATTTCAGATCTTGCAATACATGGTAAGACTGATGAAACAATTCATTTGTTTGGGGTGATGGTATGGCAAGACTAGACTTCTATTTTGCTGCTGGGAAATGCCAGGCTAATGATGACCCATGATGAAGAGACCCTCAGATCCTTTGAGGGAAGTAATGTTAAGTGTGCTTTTTTGTCTAAGAAATGCTCGTTGCGTCATGAGTATTATTGGAGGGATTGATCTTTCTGTTGGAGGATATGTTAATTCTCAAAAATGTAAAATCTTCGACCTAGTAGGACTAATTGTAATATATGCAGCACGTCCATCCTAATGATGCCTCGACGGAGTCAATCTCTTTTGATACAAGGGGAGTATGATGTGGACATCTTAGTTATAATATCCTTAGGGAAGTATACCCTTTAATGCCTTATAGTTCCTGTTTCGTTTTGTTGCTTTCCACTACCAAATTACCTTTTTAGTTACAAAAGTACAAAACTACCTATTTCTAGATTGTTCTATTACAAAGTTACATATAGCTGACGTAAAGAGTCTTGGGGCTCAATTAATGAAGAACATTACATCTCTTTGAAGCTTTAAGCTTGTGCTTGTCCCTGGATTGGGAATTCCTTCAAATAGTTTTGATTCTTCCGCCAATCCCCTACATTAAAAATTCAAGTGAATATAATGCTCTTGGTTCATGAACAAAGGATCAGGATAAGGTGGCCATAATTGATCCCCCACCAGTCGCCTAATCTTGTTTCTAATATCAAATGAATAAAAAAAGGTAAGAGTAAAATAAATCAAATAGATGGATGATAGGAAACGCTTGTAGGAATCCAAATTTACTTGATTGAATTTAAATTTTCAACAAGATTCCAAACCAGAAATAAAAAGTATTTTGGTGGAAACACTAATGAGAAACAATATTGATTGATAATAGATAGAAGAAAATAACAAACTATAATGGATCCTCGATTGGAGAGGAGGATCCGGCCTCCCAATCTCTAGCTAGCGGCTAGAGCCGAAACCAATCCTAAGAACAAACTAAATTCAGAAAACACTCAATATCCCTAACCCTAAGAAAAATCTCCCAGTTAAAGCAAACAATAAACAATAAATTCCAAAACATCCCCTCCAATTTGATTTTCCCTCCTAATGACCCCCTTAAAATCTTCTCTAATGGCTGTTGGACCCCACCTGGATAGAAAGCACAGGAACATCTGGGCGGAAATCCTGCTCCTGGGTGAAATCCCGCTTTTGCTTCGTCGTTTTGGCACGGGCTAGTCCCGTGTGTTGGACCTGCAAGACCAGTCCCTCCTGGACCTGTTTATCAATGGATTCATCATGGGATGCTTTTCCATGTAAATAGCTTAGCTCTTTTACCTCTTTTGCTCCCTTTTACATTGTAGCTTTCAAGCTATTCCCATGGAGGTTTGGAAAAAGTATGATATATGTCAAGAAGTTCGGTGGCATGAGACTTATCAATCTTAGATCTTTTGGGTACATGAATTTAAAAATCAATTGATAATATAAAATTTTCTCTTGCTAGCTGTATCTTTGATGAAAAATACATTAAGGAAGGTGAAGTCGCTTATTTTGGTTCATCAAATGTCCCTATACTCTCCTAGTATATAGTATTGTATGTATAAATGTTTAAATATATTAATTTTGTTTGTATAGATGCCTTTGCATTTGAATTTACATTACTTATCATATGAGGTTTAGTAGAAATTTATAAAATATTTTGTAAAACCATAGGCACGCCTCAAATCAACTAAGAAGTTCATTTGACATTGAGCATTTACAGGTAAACTCAAGCTTAACTTGAACCAAAATCAAGATGTGAAAATTCATATAAGCTTGACTTGTTCAAACGCACTTTATCGCCCCCACATTAGCATGCTATGCTTTCAGCTCTTCTTATTTATTTTGCTTATATTAAGCATATAAAATATTTTTAAATTCAAAAATCACTATAGAAAAATCTACCTTGTTTTCTTTTAGCTTACACCTCTTTGGTTACCTGACTTCGTTGGAAGGATTCTCAAAAGGTTGCTGTCTATTCATTGAATGGAAGAATTCAATTCAATTTTCAAAGTAAACTTACAAGGCTTTTAAGTAGAAAGTTCTGGCTTCCAGACAAATTTCTAGAACAAGAGGGGCATCACTTAATAAAAAACCAAGAATTTGTCTGCCCTCAGTTCACATAGCAATAATAAGATGCGTAATTAAGCAATAGGTACTTCGACAAAAAAAAAAAAAAAAGAAACATAGCTAAATTTGTATCTAACCGTTAGCTTGTCAAAGAGAATTAGCAAAGCTCTTTCAAAATAGTCCAACAACACTAACCTTGTTCAAATAATTCATCTGTGTGATCACGCATGTGAGGACTACCAGCATAAAAAACCATGTCTCTGGATAAACCAACTGATTGTTCCCCTCAAAAGTCAACTTAAGAGAAGTTCCCAGAGCTTTAACACTCATTACCTGAATAAAAAATATAAGATATAAATATGCCAATAAGGATTTCAGCCACATTAAGGCTTCAAATAATATAAGAAACCAATGAAGAAGATGAACGTAAAAACTTACTGAAAGAGAGCCCATCAAAGAACAAATGCCTGTGAATATCAAAACATTGGAGTGGCCATAGCGAGGAGAAAAGTGGAAAACAAGCACAGAAACCAGCACGATAACTGAGGCAACATACAGAAGAAAAGCTGCAAAATAACAAAAACAAACAATCTGAGATCATCATAATTGAACCATATCAACAGAGAAGAAATAGTAAATATATAAGACAAATCATAGTGCACAACATAATATAAAAAGGAGAGATCTTTTACATATTTGAGTTGCCTTCTGCCATATTTCTTGAACAGAAGTTATTGGTCTCTCCTGCGGAGCATGAATTACAATCACCATGGATCCAGCAATGCACATCACACATCCTAGGATCCCAAGGCTATGCAACCTCTCTTTCAAAATAAAATGGGCTAAAACAGCACTACACATCCCATTTGAGTTCTTGTTAGAAAAACTTGAATGGTCAATTACAATCTTATATAGTTCAAAAAACTCTATTCAGTCAAGAAACTACCTAACAATAATGCTCAATGCACCAAGAGGAGTAACCAGAACTGCAGGTGCAAAAGCATATGCAATAAAGTTGGCGATCTCTCCAACAATCACTGGAAATTAAATCATCATTGAATCATTGATACTATTAGAAATAATATCAAAGAGGTGTAAAGAAAGAAGATCATAAAAAATATAACAATAGCCAATATATTCTTGCAAGTTGGAAAATAGTATAAAACTATAACTTGCAATCGGAATGATAAAAAAAAGGAAGGAAACGAGAATAAAAGACTCACTGGTGATCATGCCAGTCCACCATAAGGGCTCCAGGAGATAGGCATACCCACCAACCCCTGCAGAATATCAAACGCCAATTTCATTAAAGATTGATTAAAGAGGAAGGATGGAGAGATTCCTAATATTAAAAAAACATAACCAGCTCGGACTCCAGAAGCTGCGGCGGCCCTCTTCAAGCCCTTCTTCTTGATGATGAAGCTGGCACCAATAAATCCGCTTGATAAAAGAGCCAAGATGAAGCCAGTAAGATTGTCCTTGGAGAATCCCATCGCGCTTCAGAAACCTAATTCCCCTCTCCTCCGCTCAGCCTTTCCTCCCAAATTCCCCCCTTTCTTCCTTCTCTTACTTTCTCTCACCAGTTTCCTTCTCTAATCATTATAAATCCGTAGTAATCTCTCCAAATGCCTCCTGAAATCGTCCAAATTGGTGGCTATAATTTCCCTTCTTCTTTATCGTCACATCCCCCAACCCTGTCTCTCTTCCTCATTTCCCTGTTTAATGAATATAACCAAAAAAAAAAGAAGGAATTTTAAAAAAAAAAAAAAAAAGAAGGAATTTTGGGCAGGAAACTTTTGGTTTTTTCGCGGATAGAGATTGGTTTGGGAGTGGGAAAACAGCCAACCCGGCTATCGATGGCCTTTCACGCGCGTTTGATTACTTGGCGGACCTTCGACATTAAGCTAAGCAATACAAGTTTCGGCAACGGAACTAATAGAGCTATTAAAAATGTTACCAAAATTTTGGAAATTATGAATAGATATATTAATTAACTATAGAATATATGAATATGATAATTAATTATTTTTGGTTGAATGTAAGATTAAAAAAATAATAGAAATATTGCCTTTTTTATTTTTAAGTTGAAATAAATAACATTTGATCTCATCATATATTTATGATGACCTATTAAGGCTTTATTTGGACGACTTTCTTACTACTTTTTAAAGTTATTTTTTAGCTTAAAATTTGTTTGACTATAGAATGCAATGGGGGTGATTTTCTTGAATAAGTATCCCTCTTATATATATCTCGGAAGCATCATATATCACTTTCAGTGCTTTTGAAAAGTATATTGGCATAAGACTTTTGCTACCCTAACTTGTTTAGAACTTACCAAAGGTACTCCAAAGTTTTTTTCTCATCAATATTTTTTATCATCAAACTATGTTACTAAGAATCTCCCAATACTCAACCGGGTTTAGCTGGGTTGGGGGGCGGGCGAGTTTCGTTGGGAACCCCCAACCAATGTTCAAATCCTCTCTCATACGGCACAACCCCTTAAGTGAGGAGAAAATAACTGCAGATTCTGCACCTGTGAGGTTGGTTGCTGGTAGGCTCGCCGAGAGATTAGTTACGCCGTTAAACGCCTCCTAAGAGGGGTGGTAGCAGGTAGATACTCCCGTTCAAAAAAAAAAAAAAAAAAAAAAAAAAAAAAAAAAAAAAAAAAAAGAATCTCCCAATGAATAAATTAAGGACATTAATATTCATCAACTCATAAATATACATGTACATTTGACAATCCAAAAAGCATCAACAATAATTTATATAGCTCATTAGGATATTTAATTGGAGTATTCTATTCATCCATAGGTTTAATCCTAGTTTAATTTACTCACTTTTCAAATCAATCTTAGAGAATTAGTTATATCTTGAAACTAAATCAAACATATCGTCTAATCTTGAAATGAAAATTTATAAATATGGTAATCTAACTTAAAACTCTTATCTCTTCATATGTTCTCCAAACATCATCTTTCTTGGGAATGGTGAATACAACATAAGGACTAAAGTTGGTATGGATGAACACTTTTCAAACTAAGACTTCGTTTGAGACATCTTTCTTACTACTACATAAAGCAGCTTTTTAGTACAAAAATTTTAATTTTTATACCAAAAAGTTATTTTAACAAGCAGTAAAAAAACCTTCACAAACGAAACCTACATCATCTTCCTATATTTTCTATTTGATATGCTTAATAGGAGGGTATATATAATATGGAAGATTGGGAAAATATGAACCATGCACTAGGTTTATAGCATATTCAATGTGTGTCATATATGGTAACTCTTCAAGTGAATCCTCAATGGCAACATCATTAAACACACTCGACATATCTAAGACTATGAGTCTCAATAAGCATGGGTGTAACTTCATATGAAATAAGTGAAGTTAGCAAAATTTTGATTACAAACTTCTATAACAAACTCTATCTATCTTATGATCAATTTCAACATGAATGAAATAATGATAAAATTTAAATAAAAAATAGTCTCCATAAGTATAGAAGTTCTAATAGAAAACAATTATAACTTTGCATTTCTCTTTTGATTATGCTTAGGCTGACCATCATAATTAAGTGTTTATGATGCTAATAGGAAGGCTTCATATATAGGCATGACTAAAGAAAACTCTTTGGACTTATCCTTATGCATAGTCCTAACAATAACGAATAATATTCATGCTATATAACCATGAGCTAACAAGATCTATGTTATATCCACAAGAAGATTATCACACCATACTGATAGGCACTAAAACATTAAGTAGTTGTAAGTAGGGGTGTCAATATCAGACATGACCCGAAACTCGACCCGAAGCCAACCTGAAAAATTTTGGGTTCAGGTCAACCCGTTTGCATTACAGGTTCGGTTGTGGTTTGAGTTTTCGACCCATTTTGGAAAATCGGGTTAGGTTCGGGTTGACCCGGAAATCCAAAATCAACTCATTTGACCTCTTAATTTGATCGCATCCACGTCTAGTTGCGTCATGCCAGCCCTGTCGAGTCGTCATCAGCTCATCGCATCTCATCCCTTTTTTGTCGTGTCAGGCCGTCGTCGCCATGCAGGTAGCTCCGGCAGGCCATTCCACAGGCCGAGGCGGCGAAACCGCACCAACATGCTAGCCATCTCACGAGAGCGAGACCCAAGTCAACACTCAGTAGTTGCAGGTCACACCGGCAGGCAGCTCTGCATCAGTAGGTCGCGTCGGAAGGTCGCTTCGTAGCCGCAGGTCGCTGCCTCGCCTACGAAGCTGTCGCCATGCCGCCTCAACCCACATTGGATGCCTCATGGCTCGCGTTCGCAACTTCGCATGTGTTTTCACAGGTTGGGTCGGTCAATTTGTACCCCGCACGGGTCAGGTTCGGGTTGAAAATGTGAACCCATTTGCAAAATCGAGTCGTGTTCGGGTAGACCCAGGTCAACACGGATTCGACCCGAACCCAACCTGCCGACCCGTTTTGAAGTAATTGTTCACTCAATCATGTGGAAGGGCTTCAATTAGGGTTCAAACTTTAAGTTTGCTTTTGTAAGAGTATGTGTTAAGATATCATTCATTATGACATTACAAACATCAATGAATAACCCACACTTTTTTCATTACATGCAAAATATATACTAAACCTATTCCTTATCCTCCAATCCTCATTATCAGTCCTAGCTATTGAAAAACATCTCATCATGCTAAGTTAATTCCATTGGTAGCATCTATCTCCTAATCAAACAATGATGTATCAACATAGAGCATACTCATAATGAGTTACATTATCATCCCCAACTTTTCTTAAGTATATACTTGCATTATATGGAATGTTAATAGATGGACTCAATATGTCTAAATTTCTTTAATATTTTATTAACAAAATATCTTTGGAGTATTTGATGCGAGTGATCTTTCCTTCTTAATTTGATTGATTTAAAGGAAATACAAAGTAATTTTTTTTAATCTTATTAGCTTTATTAAATATGTTTAATGATGTAATATCACTTTTAATTACCAAGAATCCATTTGCATTAATATTATGTATAGTATAATTTCATTGTGCTACCAATCTTCCAAATTCACTATCCCCATCAATCTAATGTCTTAAATTGCTATGTTATGTCATCACAAGTAGTGAGATATACTTATAAAACTATTAAGCTTTGTGCACAAAATTTTCAAGTATTATTAGAGACTATCTCATTGATAATATTTAATTTTTTTTTCTTTTCTAATACATACACATTGTCTTAATGTTTGATGCATCTAGATTTTATATTAGGTTCCTTTAGAACCTTTAAGTATTTTACTAATTCTTAAGCCTAGATATGATAAAATAATTGTTATCTTCAAATTTCCAAGTAATATATTGGTTTGAGATTTGACCTATATCCTTTCCATTAAAAGTTTAAATCCAAAAAAAAAAAAAAAAAATTCAACTTCATTATTATTTTGTGCTTCATTCATAAAGATCTCCTTGTTCCCTAAAGCATAAACCTAAATTTATTTATTTTACACTTATCATACTAATTATATTCTTCTAGACTCTAACATTTAATATATTCCATCAATATTTGATGTTGACCCCTTTCTTTTTATAGTATCGTTAATGTTTTTCTTACATAAAATATTTTCAAGTTTTTTGCCAAAATAAGTTTGAAAATGTCTATTTAATAATCTTAACTTTATATTACTAATTTTATTAGCTTATAATAGTCTTCCTTAAGGCAGTCTCCAACTGAACGTTAAATCAACGTTTGCCGTCTACGATCAGTTGCTCCACCCGAACATGAAAACATGTGACATTCGCATGATGTGAACAGTGCGACGCTAATATTGGCATGTCATTGTTCACCAACGCAATTTTTTTTTAGATCAAAAAATTATTCTAAAATGTTTAAATTTTAAAAATTTGATCCCAATACTTTAGTTCAACCAATCATTTATGAGGGCAATATACTAATTCTAATGCTTAGTTGCATGTGTACTTTTTTGTTCATATTTATATGTTCTAATGTAATTTTTATTTTATTAAGTTCATATTTGTATTCTGAATTAATTTATCGAGTAAGATTTATTTTTGTTAAAAAAAAATTATAAGTAGTTCTAATTCGAAAAATTGATAAATATAAAGATATAATTAAAAATAAATATTAAAAAATGAGAAAGAATATACACGGAATATTCTTTTTTGTGTAAAGAAATAGAATTTGGTTTGATATGAGTTACTATTTAACATGATTGTTATTGTATTTTATAGTGAAAAATGAGTTTTTCGGTTGGAGATGGCCCAGTCCTCATCATGGCAAACTTCATACAAATCATTGTCTAGATTTTGAAAAAAAAAAAGTAGTTATAACCAACACCTCCTCCTTTGTTGGTTGTACATAAGAGAATTTCTAGAGTTGAATATATCAAATAATTTAATTCTTATTGAAGACTGTATTTACCAAAAAACCACTGGTAAAACAATCATCCCATCCCTAAACACTCAATCTCATGATTCAGAAACCCTCACTCTTGCTTCTCATTTTATAAGACCTAAAGTATAAACATTGGCATTGCCACTTTGATCATTGCTACTTGGTTTTTGTCATCTATCCAACATTTTTGGGTAATCGTAGAGTTTATTGCATACACTTTTCTCACTACTATTGTTGTTGCATGCTAGAAACTTAGCGTAGATAGGGCGAGGGATTAATGTCTTAGCTTTATTCAAAGATCCAACACATGCACAAAATAAAA